AAAAAAAAGCCGCGATCGCGATCTGCGGCGGCAATTTGGCGGAAGGTACTTCGCTCCCAGCAGGAGTAGGGACCGTCTGCCGAATTGCCGCCGAATCGCTGGACCTGCCACCCCTCTCCGGAGTGGCCGCCCCAAGCACCTCTTGCCAAGCTGGTGCCTGGAGCCGGCCCTGGTAAAAGATAAAACAGAGTCGCAAGAAAATTGTTCATCTCTTTGTTGTCTGAACTCTCACGGGGCCAAGCATACTAAACTAAGGCAGAGATCCCCAGGGGTTACTCCTGGGTCCACCCTGAAAGACATTTTGAAATGACAGATTACTACATCTCTGTCATCTTTAGGAACCACAGATGGTATGTTTGTGTGTGCATGTTTGATTGCTTTAACCTGTAAATAACTCTCTCTTGTTTGTTTTTCCTAGTTAATAAACCTTTAGTTAGTTTATTACAGGACTGGCTACAAGCGTTGTGTTTGGTATGAGATCTGAGATACAAATTGAGCTGAGGTATTTGACTGGTCCCTTGGGACTGGAAGTAACCTGAATATTTTGTGATCTTTGGTATAGGTGACCAATTATCACTAAGTCCAGCTTGCCTGGGTGGCAAGATAGGCTGGAGAGCCCAGGGGGACTGTCTGTGACTCCATGGTAAGACTATTACAGTGCTCTAGGAGTTCACATTTGTTACTGGGTTGGTGAAATCTAACTGTAAAATGTACCACCAATTTGAGGTGTCTACCCTGCTTTTGACAGCCTGCGCTGAGGTTAGCACTATTGGTCGTGAGCTACTCCAGACAGCGTGACACCTAGAAGGGATTTTTATCTTCCCTGTCTGTTTAGTAGAGCTGCCCTACATCTCCCACATGTGGTGATAACAGTGGGACTGACTGTCCCACTGACTCTTGCTTCACACTGAACATTCCCATAGTTCTCCAGCTTCCACTCAATACTCTCTTTATCTGCTGCCCCATCCCTATCCCTCAGGTGTCTAAGCCAGCCAAAGAAAGGCAAGAGACAGGAGCAGACATGTCCTTGGTGCTCTCTCCTCTTCACTGAGTTCAGCAGGAGAAAGCGACAGCACACCCAGTTCAAGACCTGTAGATAGCAGTGCAACCACAACAGCTGGCCTTGGTGTGATGGCCTGAAATACAGCGTCAGTCTTGTTTCCAGAGGCTGCTCACCCACAGCATCATTAAAGCAAAGCAAGTAACTAACCCAGGTTAGATGACACATCATGGGCCCTGTCTCCACTACAGTTTCTGCTGTTAAAAGGACCAGTGGAGCTGCATTGGTGCTGAATGACATTTATAGATTTTCTGAACATAGGCAAGGCCTTTGCATAGAAGGCCTCAGTAGGCATCTGATAGGATGACAGCCCACCCTCATGTAGGGGACATTACTAAGGGGCAGGAAGAATTTTCTTTGGCTCTGTCGGAGAGAGATAGAGAGCTGCTGACAAAAATACACCTTTCCTGACACATTGAAACACATGCAGCAAAACCCTCCAATAACTCCATCAGGGGCAGGAGAAAGTCATCAGCATGAAATACTGCCTGTATTTGGCAATGTGCTGCACTATCTAAGTTGTAGTTAAAAAGAACAACATTGCTATCTGCTCTGCTAATCTACATAGCTGGGAAACTGTCTTGAGACAAGCAAGAGTAACATCAAAGTGGTGTGCTCACTCCTCCTCTACTCCAATCACTCTAGTGAGATGTAAACTCACCACTTCCCCACTCCAATGCCTTCAGTGAGGTATGAAAGTCAAAGGCTACTATCATCACTAAGCAGGTGATTTTTTTCTTTTAAAAAAGGACAAGAAAATTAAATTGAAATAGCTATATTAAGAGGCAACTCTTAGGTTCTTAATTTAACCCACACAAGAGTCAGGAAATGACTCACAATCAGGATTAACATTAATTCACCATAGGTTCAAACTATTGAACATATCTCTAGCTAGACATTTAAAAGTTTAACTAGCAATCCTATGTATTATACATGTATAGGGCCCTACCAAATTCACGGCCATGAAAAATGCATCACTGACCGTGAAATCTGGTCTCCCACCATGAAATCAGGCCTTGTGTGTGCTTTTTCCCTATACTACACAGATTTCATGGGGGAGACCAGCGTTTCTCAAATCGGAGGTCCTGACCCAAAAAGGAGTTGCAAGGGGGTCACAAGGTTATTTTAGGGGGGTCGTGGAATTGCCACCCTTACTTCTGTGCTGACTTCAGAGCTAGGCAGCCGGAGAGCAGCGGTTGTTGGTCGGGCGTCCATCTCTGAAGGCAGCATCCCGCCAGCAGAGCACAGAAGTAAGGATGACAATACCATACCATGCATGAATAGTCATGTATACTGCAGTGAAATCTATTTGCCTACTTATTTTAGGCTTCACACATCGGGAAATGATTGAGAGGAAAAAAATAAATGTTGCTGTTTACCCCACATTAGCATACAACTAGAAGCAAGTCCTGGTCATAGAGGTATAAACTACAGGTCAAAGAAAAAAATGAAAAAAAATGAAACTCGCCTCTGGGCAGGAAGCAGTCTGAGGAAACAATGGTTTTTCATATGACAGTTCACCCAGCTGGTTCTTTAAGAACTGCTTCAACTTTTCAATTTCTTGTTCGCATTCATCTGTCTCTTTTACGATTGACTGTAAAAAGATAATTTTCATTAGCCATTTTCAATTGATTAGTAGAATACAGAAACAAACTAATCAGTATTGCAATGAATTCAAACCTAGGTTTAAGTTAAGAATTTGTGAGCTGATTTTATTCAGTGTTCCCGAATTCTGTTGTCTTCAAGTTCTTTATTAATTTTCTCATAAACAAAAATAAAATAAAATGAAATAAAAATACTGTATCATAGCTGTGTCTGGTAGCAGAGTAAGCAGCTTTGGCTATAACTATTTATTACAAAATAAATCTATGCATTCAGCTCCCTTTGGCTGTAAAACGTGAAGTCAGACATATTTAATCCTATTCACCAGGAGAGTTGTGTAAAAAGAAGAAATTAAAGAGAAACTGGATGATTTTGCCTTTTTGTTGGTTTCATGATACCTTATGAGAAAACCTTCCTACTTTTATTTGACATAGTTTAGTTCATTGTTGCAGGCTAACCTGCAACTAGCAAAAATAAATCATGCTGTGCAGCAAAGATGAGAGGTGCAGGTCAAAGGGTAAATTCTATCTACAGTATTTGAGAGACAAGGTGGGTGAGCTCTGTGTAAGCTTGAAAGCTTGTCTCTCTCACCAACAAAAGTTGTTCCAATAAAATATATTAACTCACCCACCTTGTCTCTCTAATATCTTGGGACCAGCTTAGCTACAACAGCACCACTGTCTGCAATATTTGACAGTTTGCTAAACATTCATATGCCCCTTCATGCTTCGGCCGCCATTCCAGAGGACATGCTTCCATGCTGATGACGCTCGTTAAAAAAATAAAGTGTTAATTAAATTTGTGACTGAACTCCTGGGGGGAGACTTGTATGTCTCCTGTTCTGTTTTACCCACATTCTGCCATATATTTCATGTTATAGCAGTCTCAAATGATGAGCCAGCACATGTTTATTTTAAGAACACTTTCACAGTAGATTTGACAAAACGCAAAGAAGGTATCAACATGAGATTTCTAAGGATAGATACAGCACTCGAACCAAGGTTTAAGAATCTGAAGTGCCTTCCAAAATCTGAGAGAGATGACGTGTGGAGCATGCTTTCAGATGTCTTAAAAGAGCAACCTTCTGATGCAGAAACTACAGAACCCAAACCACCAAAAAAGAAAATCAACCTTCTGCTGGTGGCATCTGACTCAGATGATTAAAATGAACATGCATTGATCTGCTCTGCTGTGGATTGTTAACGAGCAGAACCCATCATCAGCATGGATGCATGTCTTCTGGAATGGCGGCTGAAGCATGAAGGGACATATGAAACTTTAGCATATCTGGTACGTTAATATCTTGCGATGCCAGCTACCACAGTGCCATGCGAAAGCCTGTTCTCACTTTCAGGTGACATTGTAAACAAGACGTGGGCAGCATTATCTCCTGCAAATTCTAACCAAACTTGTTTGTCTGAGCGATTGGCTGAAGTAGGACTGAGTGGACTTGTAGGTTCTAAAGTTTTACATTGTTTTATTTTTGAATGCAGTTTTTTTTGTACATAATTCTACATTTGTAAGTTCAACTTTCATTATAAAGAGATTGCACGACGGTACTTGTATTAGGTGAATTGAAATATACTATTTTTTTGTTTTTTTACAGTGCAAATATTTGTAATCAAAAATAAATGTAAAGTGAGCACTGTACACTTTGTATTCTGTGTTGTAATTTAAATCAATATATTTGAAAATGTAGAAAATATCCAAAAATATTTAAATAAATGGTATTCTATTATTGTTTAACAATGCAATTAATCGCGTGATTAATCGCGATTAATTGTTTTAATTGCTTGACAGTCCTAATCTTAAAATATGAGAACAGTGTCCCTCTTATATGGGAAGTCAGGACACCCAGCTGTCCTCTTTATACCCTCTAACCTGAGTGTTATTTATATAGCACTGTAGGTATGCATAGCACTCCACAGGCCAAAATACAAAGACAAAGGGTCAAATTAATCCTTGGTGTAAATTGATTGATGACCTAACCACAAGGAATTTACAAACCAACAGCACCTAATTCCTTTTTGTTTCTGTTATATTTCACTATGCTTTGTTATGCTGGAATTTAATCATGATTGCGTCTGACGAAGTGGGCATTCACCCACGAAAGCTTATGCTCCAATACATCTGTTAGTCTTAAAGGAGCCACAGGACCCTCTGTTGCTTTGATAAAATTATTAGGATTGTTCTATTACAATATCATGTGATATATGTAAACCGAGAGTAATATATACATAAACATTCATATGCCCCTACACAGTTAAGTATTCAAAATAAATACCCAAGTGTTTTTTAAAAAAATAAGAGCACATTTTTTCCATTCTGGTTGCCTTTACAACAGAGCACTTACTAAATTTCTGATGCACAGTTAATAATAAAATGTTCATGCTTTAATACACTTCTTACCTTGTAAGATCTTCGCCAGACAATAGACTTATATTAGACTACACTTGCTTTCAACCTACACAACAGGACTGGAGAGTCTTTGCTGCACAGTATGACACCCAAGTTGCCAAGAAATGCAATTTTTCCAATCTGTTTTCTAATGAAGAAATCTCATTTAAAAATTGAGTTAGATTTGTAGGAGATAAAGGCAAAGAAGCTGGATATGAGTCAACAGTGTGCCCTTGTTGCCAAGAAGGCTAACTGCATATTGGGCTGCATTACTAGGAGGAGCATTGCCAGCAGATTGAGGGAAGTGATTATTCCCCTCTATTCGGCACTGGTGGGGCCACATCTGGAGTATTGCATCCAGTTTTGGGGCCCCCACTACAGAAAGAATGTGGACAAATTGGAGAGAGTCCAGTTGAGGGCAACGAAAATGATTAGGAGGCTAGGACATTGAGGGCAACGAAAATGATTAGGGGGCTAGGACATATGACTTATGAGGAGAGGCTGAGGGAACTGGGCTTATTTAGTCTGCGGAAGAGAAGAGTGGGGGGGAATTTGATAGCAGCCTTCAACTACCTGAAGGAGGGTTCCAGAGAGGATGGAGCTAGGTTGTTCTCAGTGGTGGCAGATGACAGAACAAGGAGAAATGGCTTCAAGTTGCAGTGTGGGAGGTCTAGGTTGGATATTTGGAAAAACTATTTCACTAGGAGGGTGGTGAAGCACTGGACTGGGTTACCTAGGGAGGTGGTGGAATCTCCATCCTTCGAGGTTTGTAAGGCCCAGCTTGACAAAGCCCTGGCTGGAATGATTTAGTTGGTGTTGGTCCTGCTTTGAGCAGGGGATTGGACTAGATGACCTCCTGAGGTCTCTTCCAACCCTAATCTTCTATGATTCTATGGAAATGCCGAGCATAAACATTATATTGCCTCCAACAAGTAAAATATATTTCAAAGCAGGAAAACTTATACCTAAGGGCCCATCTGAACCAATGGGAACCATGTAATAATAATACTTTGCATTTGAATAGCATCTTGTATCTGAGGATCTCAATGTGCTTTGCAAACTTAGCTTCATAATATACATCTACTTCACAGGCCTGCCACCACCTCCATTTTACAAATGTAGGACATCAGAGGCTCACACAGGAAATCTGGGGTAAAAAATGAACAGGACCCCAAATTCGTGACACCTAGGTACATCTTCACCACAAGATGATGCTTCAACACTGAACACTGAAGTACACTGCTGCAGCCCCTGGAGCCCCAGCCTTTCCCCAACTGTAAGAATGTGCATACCTTTTGGCATATTCCATACCAGCACTTCTAAATCTTGGGCATATAAGCACACATCTAGGATGATGTCTACCTTCATATGCTAACAGCAGCAGGTATGAATTGCCAAACTGCCCAGCAATGGAACAACAGCCCCTGAGGTGCTAAAGCACTCCCGTTAATAGAGAACAGTTTAAAAGGTGTGTTTAAGAAGAAAAAAACTTTTGTTTGATGACATCATGCTGAGACTCATCTTATAATATATGGAGATATACCTATCTCATAGAACTGGAAGGGACCCTGAAAGGTCATTGAGTCCAGCCCCCTGCCTTCACTAGCAGGACCAAGTACTGATTTGGCCCCAGATCCCTAAGTGGCCCCCTCAAGGACTGAATTCACAACCCTGGGTTTAGCAGGCCAATGCTCAAACCACTGAGCTATCCCTCTTGGACTGTTTAGTCCTGAACTGCCACTCTCCTCCTCACCCAGAAATATTCAAAGATTCCAAGGCCAGAATGGACCATTGTGATCATCTAGTCCAGTGGTTCTCAACCAGGGGTATGCGTATCTGTGGAGGTACGCAGAGATCTTCCAGGGGGAACATCAACTCATCTAGATATTTGCCTAGTTTTACAACAGGCTACATAAAAAGCACTAGCGAAGTCAGTAGAAACTAAAATTTCATACGGACAATGACTTGTTTATACTGCCCTATATACTATACACTGAAATGTAAGTACAATATTTATATTCCGATTGATTTTATAATTGTATAGTAAAAATGAGAAAGTAAGCAATTTTTCAGTAATAGTGTGCTGTGACACTTTTCTTTTTTTTTGTCTGATTTTGTAAGCAAGTAGTTTTTATGTGAGGTGTAACTTGGGGGTATGTAAGACAAATCAGACTCTGGAAAGGTGTACAGTAGTCTGGAAAGGTTCAGAGCCACTGATCTCATCTGACATTCTATATAACACAAGTCATAGAACTTCCCCAAAAATAATTCCTAGAGCACATCTTTTAGAAAAACATCCAGTCTTGATTTAAAAATTGTCAGTGATGGACAATCTACCACAATCCTTGGTAAATTGTTCCAATGGTTAATTTCTCTCACTGTTAAAAATGTACACCTTATTTTCAGTCTGAATTTTTCTAACTTCAACTTCCAGCCATTAGATCATATTATATTTTTGTCTGCTAGACTGAAGAGCCCATTATAAAATATTTGTTCCCCCAGTGGGTTCTTATAGACTGTAATCAAGTACCTGGTAATCTTCCCTGTGTTAAACTAAATAGATTGAGCTCCTTGACATATTGTCTAATCCTCTAATCATTCTCATGGCTCTTCTCTGAACTCTCTCTTGAATATCCATCTTGAATCGTGGGCACCCAAACTAGACAGATTATTCCAGCAGTGGTCACACCAGTGCCAAATACAGAGGTAAAATAACCTCTCTGTTCCTACTTGAGATTCCCATTTATGCATTCAAGGATCCCATTAGCCCTTTTGGCCACAGCATCGCACTGGGAGCTCACATTCAACTATTATCCACCAGGACCCCCAAATCTTTTTTAGAATCACTGCGTCCCAGGATAGCTAACCTCTATTAGAAGTCCAGTTGCAGTACCTAATATGAGGTCAGGTCAGGAGATGTCCAGCTTCAAAATGATAAGCAGTACAAGTTACAGTGGAGGAAATTGGCCCATTATGCTTTACTGATAAGAAGAGATTACATCCTTTAGAAATAACTCCTTCAGCAACAGACTATTCACATTTTAATAATTAATGATAATGTAATTAAATAACTATTAAATGCTAGCTATATATAACAAAAATATTTCTATGTTCTGTATAAAGATGTCGGATCTGAATTTCAGCGGTGCTGAGCACCTGCAGCTTGCATTGACTTGGGTTGCGGGACCATAGGTATTTAAGTAATATGACAATTAAAGCCACTGCTATTGTGCAATACCAAAAACTACCACAAAGTGCCATGAGGCATTAGCTATCTGGGAAAAGAAACTCGCATCACTTTTAGCTGAATTCCAAAATTAAATAAACATCAAGACAGTTATAGCATGCTTTGTCCTTGTATTAAATTACACAGCGAAACCAGAAATAAGAGACCTGGCAAGTGTACTATGGCCCTGCCTTGACAATCATGTCTCGTCACCAAAGAAATTATTACCAATTTAAGGAGTTTTGTATGAAATTTCAGAACAAATGAATCTGATGTCAATGTAAGTACTTTACCTCCAGTAGCTCATTTTGTTCCTTGGTACTTTTTTCTAACATTTTCAGTTCTTTCACAAGTTGGCCTGTTCTTTTGAAGACTGAGAGAGGTTGCATTCTCATTCCTGGTAACCTAAGACCTTCTTCGTAGCCCTTTATCGCAGCAAGGGTCTTCTGCAAGGGACTGATGTGGCCAAGTATAACCTAAAAATGTAAGTATAACCAGAATATGCTATGAAGAAGAAACAATGATCACTTTTGTCATGCCGTTAAAAAGTTCTCTTATGTAAATTCTGCAGGGCTGATTTTGGACCTTCTCTCTGTTTACCTTCAGAGAATTTTTACCTCAGAATGTTTTCAAAAAATATATGGTGAGACTGTACAAACCAAGAGGAGTGTGTCATGACACTTGCAGGACAGGGGACCATTGGGACTATTTCTGTCCGTCTTGTGGACCTGAGGCGTATGGTGGAAATGCTGCACATTACTGAAAACACATATGCAATTAGCACAGAATATTCTACCTGATAAATAAGTGCAGACAGAAAGTCATGTCTAATGTACTATAGTTTTACTGAGTTGTTGGGTAATTTTAACATTTCAATGATCTCCATCAATTTCAGGTGAAATCTGCATGACTCTGTGTAAAGGTTACTGGACTGTTTATTACCTTATCACAGAGTCACACAGACTACATCAGAAATAGATGGAGCTCATTGAAACGTTAAAATTACCCAACCACTTGACTTGCTTTCAGCAGGTTTCACTAAAATGGTGGTGAAAATGGGTCTCACTAGCAGAACCCTATCTACATTATGGTTCACAACTGTTCAAATCAGTGGGAATGTTTTGTATATTTCTCTAATGTGGACAAAGGTTACAAATCGGGAAGGAAGAATACTGTTTTCAAGGTGAAATATTTCTTCACAATATTAATCACTTCTCCATATACTGTAGCAGCTACAAGTGCCCTCTGGGTAACAGAACAGCAAACATATGACCAAACTTTCAGCTTTCCCCTTAAACTGAATCCACAAATTTTGCATGTAGGTGAACTGAAAATGTGGCTTGTAGACACAGGGAAAAAATAAATAGAAAATATCTTTAATACTTTGATTTATTGTACCCAGGGATGGAAGGCAGAACATCATGGCCAAAATATCCTTGCAATGAAGTCTTGAATTGATAAATAATCATGGAATTATAGAAATGTAAGACTGAAAGGGATTTAGATAATAAGACTTTGCACATATATACACTTTTCCATTCAATGATCTTCAAGTGCTTTGTAAAAAACAAATGAATTTGCCCTTTTGAGGTAATATAATCATTTCACAAAATGAGGACAATAAGGTACAGAGAAATTAATATCAACTTTTTCCTCAACTTTTGAGTGTCCAACCTGAAACCTAGGGCCTGATTTTCTGAAGTGCCAATTGCCTGCAGTTTATGTTGATATTATCTAGAGTTTGGGTGGTCATGACCTCTGAAAATCAGGTCATAAAGTTTCCAGAAATGGAGACACCAAAAATTAATGTGCACTTCTGAAAATTTAAGCATAAACAACTTGCACAAGGTCACATAGGAAATCTGCTGCAGAGAGAAACAGAACACAGATGTTCCAACTCGTAGTCTCATGCATTAACCACAAGGCCACTTAATTTAATTGTGAAAAAGTTTCTTCAGCCTTTGGGTTATGGGAATTACAGTCACAATTTTCATAATATACCTACTCATTATTGTCCTCAAAAGCAAGTCATGCATCATAATAATTTGTTTGCATTAATAAGCCATCTTCATATCTGTGAAATGTGTTGATTTGTTTATTCAATGTAAGAAAAAAAGGTTTAATAAGATACATACACACCTGTCCATGTCTAAGATGCTCCTTAGGAGAAAAATCTAATATATCTTCTGTTGACAAGATCGTCTTAATTTTGGCAACATCCTTCCCTATCACTTTCACTTCAGATTCAATGGCATCCACCTCCTAGATGTTTTGAAATATCCAAAATATTTGTGGACTATGAAATTTCATTTTACAGCCACATGAATTGTTATTGTGTCTATTATTGTTGTTAATAAATACCAAATAAATTAATGAATTACCAGGTCTAAATTTTATCAAAATTCTAAATACATTGTACTCCAATAATTTAATCGGAAGTAAATTTTCTTCTAATGCAAATTAGAACCACAAAATGTGTAGCTTTCATTTAAATGTTTCATATTAATAAGAAATATTTTCAAGCTGCCCTTCAAACATATATAAATAAAACAATTTGTATTATACAATATGTTTTGACTGGAAACATATTAGAAAGGTATTAAACTGAACCTTACTAAAAAAATAATAATTATGTACAATATCAGAGATTGAATGCTGCTGCATTTACAGTACATTCAACAGGTATTGCTGATCCAGAAGCTAGTTGCTATCAATCACGTTGTCTTTCACAGGCTCCTTGTCATAACTCACATAGGGAATTAGGTATTAATGGTCAGCTAGTCAGGTTTAATCCCTGAGTAGGGAATCAAAATAACCTTGAAGTCACACATGAACTACTCTTGGGCTTGTGTACATGGGGAAGTTTACTGGCTGAACTATTCTGATATAATTATACCCTTACAGCACCTTGTGTGGACACTGTCATTCTAGTATAAGATTGCCTTTTTCCAATTTAGCTTATGTTGCTTTGAAACTGTATGAGCTAAACCAGAAAAAGGCACTCTTATATTGGTATAACTCCCCATGTGCACACTATTATTCTGGTGTAACTCTAGCAGAATAATTATATAACAGTATAGTTCTGCTGTCAAATTTCTCTGTGGAAACAAGCCCTTTGAATAAGCTAGTAATAAGCATTGTGTTTCTCCTCCTCATAGAGACAGAAGGCACACCCCCCAAATTATTTTACTATTTCTCTTGAATTTTACAGCTTAATTATCACATTGGGATTTTTTTTAAATGATGCATTTACCTATATGTTATTCCTATTATTAAAATGAGAATGCTTGCATTCTAATGGCAAATAATGTATACGATCTAATGAAACACCAATAAAAGGCTATTTTTTTCAGACTACCCAGACTTACATCAGCCATGTGCTGGATCTGTGGAAGAATTTCCACTATCTTTTGCTGTAAAGATGTTACTTGACCATTTACTTCATTTATCTGTTGCACTATATTTTCTGTTTCAAAGATTATTGATAACTCATCCAGTTGTGAATAGATGGTATGTAGAAGATTTTGCTTTTGTTCTGAATCTTCCAATGCCATCTAGAAAAAATAAAATAAAAACATCACCATGTTTGAGGCACTTAGATTGCCTGATTCACTGATGCACCTCAGCTCAGATACAAACCTCTGTTGCATTCTCAAATACTTTGGCCTTCCAGCCCAAAACATACTAATGTTCCAAACTGTAAAGACTTTGTTTAAATGCAATAATGTAATCCTTGGATTAACAGGAGTCAGTGAAACTTTCATAGAATTTTGCATTCATATTCCCCCTATGGCAGATTATACCATCTATAATATAGAACAACCTACCATGGAAGGCTACAATACCACTAGTAAAATCCGAGGCACAGCAATGACATTCTGATGACTTTTTATATAAAAAGTCATGTCCTGAGAGCAAATGATTCTTCTGGGCTAAATTCATGCCTTCTCATGCCAAAACTTAGTCCCTGGAAAAATCATGAAGCAGGTCCTCAAGGAATCAATTTTGAAGCACTTAGAGGAGAGGAAAGTGATCGGGAACAGTCAGCATGGATTCCCCAAGGGCAAGTCATGCCTGACTAACCTAATTGCCTTCTATGATGAGATAACTGGCTCTGTGGATGAGGGGAAAGCAGTGGACGTGTTATTCTTTGACTTTAGCAAAGCTTTTGATACGGTCTCCCACAGTATTCTTGCTGGCAAGTTAAAGAAGTATGGGCTGGATGAATGGACTATAAGGTGGATAGAAAGCAGGCTAGATCATCGGGCTCAACAGGTCATGATCAATGGCTCCATGTCTAGTTGACAGCTGGTATCAAGCGGAGTGCTCCAAGGGTTGGTCCTGGGGCCGGTTTTGTTCAATATCTTCATTAATGATCTGGAGGATGGTGTGGATTGCACCCTCAGCAAGTTTGCAGATGACACTAAACTGGGAGGAGTGGTAGATACGCTGGAGGGTAGGGATACGATACGGAGGGACCTAGACAAATTAGAGGATTGGGAGAAAAGAAATCGGATGAGGTTCAATGAGGACAAGTGCAGAATCCTGAACTTAGGACGGAAGAATCCCATGCACTGCTACAGACTAGAGACCGAGTGGCTAGGCAGCAGTTCTGCAGAAAAGGACCTAGGGGTTACAGTGGACGAGAAGCTGGATATGAGTCAACAGTGTGGCCTTGTTGCCAAGAAGGCCAACGGCATTTTGGGCTGTATAAGTAGGAGCATTGCCAGCAGATCAAGGGACGTGATCATTCCCCTCTATTCGGCATTGGTGAGGCCTCATCTGGAGTACTGTGTCCAGTTTTGGGCCCCACACTACAAGAAGGATGTGGAAAAATTGGAAAGAGTCCAGCGGAGGGCAACAAAAATGATTAGGGGGCTGGAGCACATGACTTATGAGGAGAGGCTGAGGGACCTGGGATTGTTTAATCTGCAGAAGAGAAGAATGAGGGGGGATTTGATAATTGCTTTCAACTACCTGAAAGGGGGTTCCAAAGAGGATGGATCTAGACCGTTCTCAGTGGTAGCAGATGACAGAACAAGGAGTAATGGTCTCAAGTTGCAGTAGGGGAGGTTTAGGTTGGATATTAGGAAAAACTTTTTCACTAGGAGGGTGTTGAAGCACTGGAATGGATTACCTAAGGAGGTGGTGGAATCTCCTTCCTTAGAAGTTTTTAAGGTCAGGCTTGATGAAGCCCTGGCTGGGAAGATTTAGTTGGGTATTGGTCCTGCTTTGAGCAGGGGGTTGGACTAGATGACCTCCTGAAGTCCCTTCCAACCCTGATATTCTATGATTCTATGAACTAAGATTTCACATACAGAAACCAGTCTTTCCACCATTCTGCCCATGGCGTCAAATTCCCTCTGATAATGTTATAAACACCTGACACCTGAAATAACTTACCACAGTCCACTTTAAAGTGCATAAGGAAAACTGATTTATGAATCACAATTCAACTCAAAATGCTTTAACAAATGCACGAGAACCAAAAAACTGATCTACTAATTCTAAATCACTGTTTACTAAAAACAACAGCATGACTTGTAAAATCTGATAAACTGTAAAGCAGTGCAACAAATACACAAAGGGCAGGACACAAAGTTTATCATTTTCTGAGACAGATCTATCCCCCTATGGCTGCTGACATTTTTTATCACTGTGGTCATTTTTCACTGAAGTTCACTGAGGTTCAAATTTTTAGTGGACTTCCTTATTTGTACCTAAAAATTTTGTTGGTGCAAAATCCATACCTACATGAGCAGGAGATACTTAGAATAAGCCACATAATTTTTGTAATTTGGGCTCCCTGTACAGAAAATTTGTATATACACTTACTTGAAGGGCTTTGGCATGTTTACTCAGGGCTTTTGCAGAGTCATTTTCAGCCTCCACAGTTAACAAATGATTGGTGGTTTCTATCCATAACTGCATGCTCTTCAAGAGTTCCTCATATTCCTCCATCTTACTAGTGGCCTATAAAAAAATACTCATAAACGTATGTTCTGTAACACCTGAAGTTAACATCCCTTATAAATGAAAGACTAGTTATATTTATTAGTAAGTTCTGAATTATGAGGTATTATTCTGCTCAAATCAGGGTTAGCACATTTGACTGAGAAAACAGAAAATCTGAATTCAATCCCCAGCTCTGCCACACTTTGTGTGTGACCTTGGGCAAGTCACTTAATTTACCTCAGCTCTATCTTTAAAATGAGAATAGTACTCTCCTACTTCTTAAGGGTGTCGTGAGAATAAATCCATTAAGAAGTGTGAGGACCATATCGTATTTATATAGAGAGAAATCCCTAACTGTGAGAGATGGAAGGCCTAATTCTCCACTGGCATCCACTAAGGACTTACATCAACAGAGTTTGGCCTGATTAGCTGAATGACTTTTTAGCTATATTCTGGGGAAAAAAACACATTTAAGGGGAAAAATTAAAGAACACTCAATATATTTTTGTGGAGTTTGGTGAAATTAACCTGGCTATGAAATAAAGAAGCAGGATAAAATGATCAAAAACACTTGAGTGCTTTAGGAGCTTAATTCCCAGTTTTATAAGTGATTTAGGCCCTTAGGCCAAGATCTTCAAAAGTATTTAAGCATTTAACTCACATTAAATAAATAAATAAATAAATTAATTAATGGAGATATCCTATCTCCTAGAACTGGAAGGGACCTTGAAAGGTCATCGAGTCCAGCCCCCTGCCTTCACTAGCAGGACCAATTACTGATTTTTCCCCAGATCCCTATGTGGCCCCCTCAAGGATTGAACTCACAACCCTGGGTGTAGCAGGCCAATGCTCAAACCACTGAGCCTAAAAGCAGTGGGAGACCGCAATGAGACTGAGGCTAGGTCTACACTGGGGGGGGGGGGCGGCAGGGGAAATCGACCTAAGATACGCAACTTCAGCTACGCGAATAGCGTAGCTGAAGTCGGCGTATCTTAGGTCGATTTACCTGGTCGTGAAGACGGCGGCGAGTCGACCGCTGCCGCTCCCCCGTCGACTCCGCTTCCGCCTCTCGCCGCGGTGGAGTTCCGGAGTCGACGGCAGAATGATCGGGGATCGAAGATGCGATAAATTGATCCCCGATAGATCGATCACTAGACGTACCCTTAGGCTCTTATGCCATGCAGGCCCTTTTGAATTTTAACCATAGTCTCTACTTTAATGTCTGATCCTTTATTAAACCAAACACTTGTAGCTTTGCCTTTACCTTGTTTAAGAGTGTGGTTCTGTGCTCAGCATGTTGTGAGACCTGCTGGTACTGCTGCAAAGGAATCATTAAGCTGTCCAGCCATTCCTGTGCGTGACATGGATCCTTTTCTGCTATATCCTGCACTTCTGAGTCCAGTTCATTCAGTTTGTAATGCCAAAGATCTAGCACATCCCAGATTGTCTGCATATGGGAATATGGTAAAAAAAACATTAAGGTCAGACCTAATTCTGACAGGATACATATCTAATTTATGTTTCCTGTGTGGGGCATGTGAGTTTAGAATTTGCAAAGGTTCATGAACTCATATGACTAGTACAGAATGTTCTGTATCTACCCTGGGTCACTCATGCCTAAGACAAATGAGAAAAGAAATCTTTTGCTGTGAGCTGAAAGGTTTTGAAAGTATTCATCAAGTAGATGCTTCTGCATATGCAGGCAAACACAACGGAAGGTCCCTTGACAGTTTCCTAAATCAGATTCAGTAACTGGACCCACGGTCTTCAGACTCAGAAAAGGGACTTTTGAGACATTACCTTTTGAATTTCCTTGGCTTTTGCAATGTTTTCACTCTTGTGTTGTAACATCTTTTCAACAGCTTGCAGGCCATTGTTAATATTCTCTACTTTTTTATTCATCGCATAATGAGGAGAGCTCTGCAAGATTTTGGTGTTAACCTGTCATAGTAAAGGGAAAAGTTATGCAGGTAACAAAGATCTGTTTCTTTATTCATAATGTCTCACAAAAAGTTTCAGAATTCTTTGTATTACTGCCTTGACAAGTCACATTAGAATGTAAGGGCAGAATTAGATTTGCCGTGAGAAGCAACAGTAATATGGTGTTGAGTTCATGGGTCATTCAGTAGTTTCATCCCACTAAAATGACAGGTGGAACACAGCATTAAATACAAATCAATAGAATATAGTACAATATTGGGTCACGTCTGCTGGTTTCTGTTCTGGCCAGTAATGTAAGAGATACAACCTGTACTAGGGAAAGGACACACTCCAGCTCCTCACTCTGAAAAATCAAAACTGAACTATTATCTGCCAGCTGATAGCACTGTTTTGCCTGAGAAATAAATATCAAGGATTTACACGTTTCCACTATATTAATGCTCAGATTCACTACAAAAATAAATAACTTTAAGGCCCCAAAACCATCAAGTGCAGAATCTCTCTCAGCAGAACTCCTCAGGAACAAGAAATAGGGATATTGAGTACCATGATTTTTGTGTAAGTTGTGGTAAAATTTTCAAAATTGCCTAACTGATTTAGGAACCTAAGCCCAATTTTTTTTAAGGGACTTCGTTTAGGACTAGTCTGCACACAAAAATTGTATTACATTAATTATACCGCTGTAGTTAAAGCAGTACACCGTCCTTAGTATGGATGCAGTTATACTGGTATAAAGATGCTTATACTAACCAGCACAGCTTACAGGAGTATAATTTATACCGGTATAACAGCATCCTCACTAGAGGGGTGTATTGGTATAGCTATTACAGTAAAAAAATCATGCTCCTATTCTAAAATACCTATACTGATACATATCAGACCTTGGGCTTCCAAATGCCTTAGTCACTTCTGAAAATGGGACTGAGACTCCTTAATCACTGGGGAGCATGAAAGCAGTGTGCACCAGAGAGGATACATTTTGTTCTTTTTCACTCCTTTTATTAGAATCAGTAAAAATGATTAAACAATATAAACAACAATAATTCTATGCTTCTAGGTTAGAATTTTATCTCAAACTTAATGGACCAGTCTGATTCTCTTTTTCTTCTTGTTTCACACCCTGCAGTCCCTCTTAAAACTTTGACAGCCTTGCTCTAGAAAAATAGATGATATTTCATTTATTATGTATGTATTATACTTCGGGAATACTGAAAATACTGAGACAATGTTAGTTTTCTATATTAACTGGCAAGATTTGTAGGGCGCCACAGTGCTCCAGGGGTTGCTATAAAGAATTATGGCACTAATAATACCCTGCCATGTGTGCAGCTCTATTTATAAAAGTATTTGTTGAACTTCTTGATGGCTTTGAAATGCCCACAAAACAAAGACATACGTTTTGAACATCTCATCTCATCCAGCTGTGTATGATACCATGATGAGGTTTCACACTTATCGGGAAACAGAGGATAAAAAACACTATTGGTCAAGTTTAAGAATAAGATTGAAGGGAAAGAGAACAGTGGTGTTCTAGAAGGTATAAAAGAATGTATATGCTTCTTAGCCTTACTGAATCTGCCATTTCTTCTTGTAGCTTAATTAAAATAAATTTTATACCCTAATTTGTTGATTGCTATAATATTTTAAAAGGATACAGAGGTAACACATGCAATTTATCTATAGTTTATACATTTTTACTAAGTGTGGAATGCAAGTAAAATTAGCATTTATATACCAACTAACATTTTCAACTGACACTTGTAGTTATGGCAATAATATAGCGTAAAAACATTCCAAATAAATAAATATGTGAATTTCACAAATTATTACCTTCTCTTCTAGGTCTTGTAATGTTTTCTTGCAGTCTTCCAACTGTGTTTCAATATCTGCAGGAACTATTGTATACATTTCTGAATACTTGATTCGTAGTTTCTCCATAATATCCTTAATAGTTTGATTCTCTCTGTTAATTATACTCTGAATCTCCTAAAAACATTTCAGAGAGGTTTCAGCACTTATAAAACACCAAAAACTTAAACTCAGTAGGAACTAAATGAGTCTTCTACCATGATGTTGATTTAAATAAGTTGTTTTCCCATTACAAAACCTGACTTGACAACCTATGCTAGCAGATTAAACCTGAGATATATTCACTGGTTTAGACAAATGATGCTTTTCAATCTGTAAGAATTAATTAAACTTGATACCACTCAATGTCAAACTATTGTTCCAGTAATACTTATTGACAGAAATAATATATGATTAAAACATTAAAGTGCTTCTCTGATTTAATGTTCAGCTTTCTGACATTCCTGTTTCAATTACTCGATTTTTACTTTCAAAGAAGTTCTAACAGTTTAACATTATTCTAACAGCTACATTACTATAATAACAACACAAAGACCGCTAAAAGCAACAGCCTCGAAGCTGAAGTGTCTGTTTTCATGTAATTATGTAGAACTGCAGAGCAGAGCTCCTTTCAAAACAGTGGGTTCCAGTTCCGTTGAGGAATGTAGGTTTTGTGAGACAAAAGAAACCTGAACAACTGTGTACAGCCTGTGGCCTAGAAACAAAACCTGAACGAAGTCCTCTCACAGAAAGAATGAAGAAGAAACTTGTTTGTTAGGCTTTCTAAAATGTCAGGTTGCAAAATTTCTTGTTTTTACATTTACTTTCCCCTACTCTCTGCCATTTTTGTGTGGTGTCAAATGTTAAATAAGTTATTGGGCAAAGTGATAAATTCCTATTATGCACTGAGAACTTTTTATTTTACTGTTAGACTATGGGGTGATGATTTTTATAAAGTTTAACCATTCCCCGTTAAATCCTAACCTCCATTTGGGAATCCTGTCCCACACCTAAGTACCATGCAGAGAAACACTGTATCAATGGATGAAATTACTGGGAAGTTTTCTTTCCCTTTTTACTGTGACAACTGGGTCCAACTGTAAAGAACATAAAGCATCTGTACACCCAATACACCACAAAGAAGCTTACTGTAACAGTACCACAATTAAGGATGTGCCAGTATTTATGGGCTCCCAAATAACCAGCATTTGAAAGAAAACAACTCTCTGACCTGCAGTAAGCAGAAAATATCCCTTTGTAAAATGGACTTCCATATCAGTATATAAATACAAACATGCAGTTAATACTTTTTAGCTGCAAAATTGTGGTATAGAAAAGCTTCCCAATTTTGTCCTAAAGAACTAGATAATAATGATGATGATTATTGTTTGTATTACTCTTGCACCTAAGAGCACTAGTCATGGACCAGGGCTCCACAGTGCTAGGTGCTGTACAAACAGAAGAAAAAGATGGTCCCTACCCCAAGGGGCTACATAACATTACCTCACTATCTGCAGCTTTATCCTACACGGGTGCTACTTTAAAACACGGCCAACTGCCTTAGATAGATAAATAAGCACTGCAGTTCATTTTTGTCAGTATTTCATAGACTAGAATCATAGAAATGTAGGTCTTGAAGTCCCTCCCCCTGCACTGAAGCAGGATTAAGAAACCTAATTGCAGTAGCCAAGGTGTTTCTTATATTAAATATAGGAAAGAGAATATTGCACATATTATTCTTATATATCTTTATTTTAAGTGAAATTGGGGGATTTTTCAGTACTCTCAGTAGAAGGAACACTGCAAATAATGAGGTTATGTTATTTAGTCAACTAAGGAAACTGACTTTTTTTTTTTTAAAGGGCATTGCTGATTCTTTTTCCCTCCAATTCCTGGCAGTGGTATTGGGAGTACGGTCTACACTGCTTCATTTTGCCAGGGGCATCCCTCCCGGTCAGTTTTCCACCCCTCATTCAGCTACAGCAAGCACAATGTAAGGAGTACAGCAGGAATTTAGAGACGGAAATGGTAGCCTTTTGCTCTTGGATACTATAAAAACCTCACTGAAATAGCAGCATTGACCTGCAAGTACTTACAGAGTGAAAAACAATTCTTACAGACAAGTTTGAAAGATTTCATCACAGTAATGCTAGCTCATGAACTCCCTAGATATGTATTTGTATATTCCACATTGTGTTAACTCCCAAAGAAATCCCCAAGCACATTATCACCATTCTCATATGTTCGTATGTTATTCCCTGCCCTCAACCCTTCGTCATCTTGTCTCTTCCAGTCTGTAAATTCTATGGGGCAGGGATTGTCACTCTGTGTTTGTACTGCACCCAGCACAACTGAGCCCCAGTCTTCACTGGGGCCTTCAGGGTCTACCGTAAATAAATGTATATTATAATATTAACCATCAATAACAATAATTAATCCACATAAGGGAGTTTGTGAAAGAAAACTACAGTTTAAATAAGCCACTCATGCAAGGTTAACAACAAATACATTTAAATGATATAAAGGTTTTAGAAAATGTGTTAAAACCCAGGTGTAAATCTAAAGGCTTGTCATGCACTAACTCTGTATAGACAAGCTGGGGTGTAAATCTACAGCGCAGTAGCTTGCTGCACACAAAGTCACCAAGTGGACCCTGCTGCTGTGCATAAAAGCTTTGCAATGCATTTTGATCTACTGCTGTTTGAAGTGGATTACGTTTGAAACAACAGGAGGTCAAAGTGCACTGCAGAACTTTTAGTGCACAACAGCAAGGTTCATATGGCCAGTTAATGTGTGGCACGCTACAGCACTGTAGATTTGCACCCCAGCTTGCCATGCACGATCTCTCTCTGTATAGACATGCCCTAAAACTGAAGGCGGTTGTGGTCCTGATAATGATCTCACTTACAAACATTTTACACCAGTGTAATCCATTGACTTCAGTGGAGCTACTGCCAATATACACTGCAAGAGATCAGAATCCGCCCCTTCGAAGATATCCTTGGGCAGGATGGGAGGAATGAGAAGATGTATATAAGCTGAGCAGCCATTTCTAAGTGAGAGAGGATTGGCTGAGTCCCTCCTTAGGATCAGAACAGGCCTCTGTAGCTGTGGCACATGATCAGGTCGCAAAGCTCTAGCTGGTTCCAAGCCACGGACATCGTAGAGCCAAGGATTTGGTCCGCATCCCACTGTGCTTATATATTTTGCCGCTGATTTCAATGGGAGCAGGCTCCAGCCCCCTGTGTGAAATTTAGTATCTAAAAGCAGAGACCAGCTACATACAATGTGACCGTCTTCTACTCACCTCCAACCCTGCTGCCTTTTCAGTAGACTCTTGTGACTCTCCCTCACGCAACAAAAATGAGGCCTTTTGTAATGAACTCCTCACAGCATTTATTTCTTCATTAATCTTGTCTCTTTCCTGAATCTCAGACTGCACAGATTTTTTATGTTTTTGAGCCTTTTGAGATAGCCTTAAAAAAAAAAAGAAGATTTGCATTGGGAAAACATTAATTATTAGTCTCAATATTAATTAGAAAGTGAAATATTCCAAAGAGTATTCTGCAAAATTAAATGCTGATATTTAAAAATATACATTTCGAACCAAATCTGTGCCTTAAAATGCATGTCTATATTTTGGCGTGCTTACTTTTTGGTACTTAAGTCACTTTTGACTTCACACTCTAAGTTTCTTTACATATGAATCTTCAGATAAAAGTAAATATAGTATGTTTAGTCAAGCAAATTGGGTAGGTCAGCCATCTAACTGTCCAATTTAGGCTTGACATAGAGCTTTCACACTTGCAGCTGAGATGTAGAGACACAGGCATTGAAAAGTAAGTGCACAAAGATTTAGACATCAAAGAGCAAGCATGAAGAAACACAAAAGTGTACAATTTTGCTCACAAATTTGGTAACCGGGTTGAGATCCCTTTGAAAATCTGGTACATGATGCAGTAATGAAGTGATAAAGATAAAAATTTGTATGCAAATACACAGACGGAGGCTGATTTTCACAGGTGCTGATACCTGCAACATCCCTTCCAGTCATTGGGAGCTGCAGGTCCTCAATACTTCTAAAATTCAAGATTTTACATCCTTCACATAATTTTAGCCCATATTTGAAGTCCATTAAACTTTTTGAAACATTCTCTTAGTACGAAGAAAATGCAAGTGAGCCAAGTAAAAAATTCTGCTATTAAGTAGTTCTGTGTAAGATGTTTTTGCAGTGTAGTTTCTTGCACGTACTTTTTACATCGATCTTGCATTGCATGTATCTCGTATCGAATGGGAACGTCTGCTTTTCTCTCAGTGTTTTCAGGCACATTCAGGATGCTTCTTATACGATGAAGTAGTAAAAGCAATAACAGTTGCTCTCTGTCCATGTTTTCCTCATAACAGTCCACATATTCTAGCAATTCTAAAAGTGCATCTGTGGAGGCCTTCTCTTTCTCTTTAGGACTTTCCGGTAGTTCTTCCTGAAGATTATCTAGAATTATTGCTTGCCGTTCCACCTAAATAAAGAATACAAGTATGAGATAAAGTGCACTTTCTTCGGCATTTCACATTATATTATGTCCTTGACATGCATATCAAACTCACACTAACAGCAATGGGAGCTCAGTGTGTGTACTGAGAGCTCAGGGCTTGATCCTGTAGGGTACTGAGCACTTTAGTTCTGATCCAACAAAGCACATAAGCACATGCATAGTTCAAACCCAATGAGTAGCCTGACTGAATTCAGCAGTTCAGTCTATAAATGTTTACATTGAGAAAAGGTAATAGATAATGGGACAGTCAGATGGTGTAAACTGACATATCTCCACTGACTTCAGGGGAGCTATACTGATTTTCACCAGCCAAAGATTTGGCCCCGTAATCTTCTTTAAGCATCCTGTTTTGTTATGTTTGTTCCCAAAATATTTGACAACCTGTTAAGCCACTTACTTCTTCATTGACAAATTTCCATTCCTGTTTTAGCTCCTCGCAGTTAATCTCCCATTCTTTTGCAGCCTCGAGCAAACCAAGCCACTTTCCCCACAGTGCTGACACAATCCTGACCAGCGTGCAGTCACTTCCTTTGCACACAATGCTCAGGTCTCCCGAGTCCCGTCTCAACGTCATTAGATCCTCTTCAGCCGAAAGAAGGTTAGAGACCAAAACCTTGATACAAATAATAAACAGAACAATATTGCATATCAGGATATCTAATAAAACAATTCCTTACATGATTAGTCTTCTGGGATAAATAACAGATACTTTGTTGTCTGATGCCTAGATACTATACCAATGAGCCAATTTTATATCGGATAACATAAGACAGACCGGGATAAACCAGACAGACAGAGAGAATCTGGGCAAGAGTTTGGAATATATAACAGTGGAAATAGTATTTGCTTATACAATATTTGCTATAGAGCACCAGCCTAACCACTTTTTACTTTATCCTCATAGTAGCATGGTGATAGCCACCTAACTAAGGTTCAACATCTCTAATATCTCTAACTTCCCCAAAAAGAAACCAATCCACTTGAGATGTCATATGCCACATCTCATTTTGAGTAAAGTTTTTCTGGAAGTTTTAAAAAAGCTCAAAAAGAGAATGTTAACATTATTGGGTGAAATCTTGGCTACATTTAAGACAATGGCAAAACTTCCACTGATCTTCATGGGGCTAGGATTTCACCCCCAGCATTTAAGAAGGTTCCTTATACACCTCTACCCCGATATAACGCGGCCCGATATAACACAAATTCGGATATAATGCGGTAAAGCAGCACTCCGGGGGGGCGGGGCTGCGCACTCTGGTAGATCAAAGCAAGTTCGACATAACGCGGTTTCGCCTATAACACGGTAAGATTTTTTGGCTCCCGAGGACAGCGTTATATTGAGGTAGAGGTGTATTTGACTTTTTGAACATTCTCCTTTTTTTGGGATCTTTGTTTTGTTAGTCCTGCAGAGAAATGCCTTTTACCAGGGATGAAGGGTGGGGGGTTGTTTTTATTTTCTAGGGGATTTTTTTCACAGGAGGAGTAATTATTGGGGAATTACAGATATAAAATATAAAAAGCCTGTGATGGGGTGTACAATACAACAGTAGGCCAGAAAAGGATTAAACTAGGGATTCTTTAACACAGGGATGTGAACAGGAGGCCGGGGAAGGGCCTTAGGGAAGTAGGAGGGAAGAAACAGTGAACTCTCTCCCTCTCCTCCCATTCCAAGGAGAAAACAAGGTCAAGGATCTTCTGGGTCTAGGCCTCAATCAAGAAGCATGGAGGAACTTGTGCTAAAAAATAATACATTTGCATGGATACAAAAGTATCTGAAACACAGATAAAGTTTATTTGGTAAACACTATGATATATACATCATATATGGCCCGTTTAAACCTAACCTCAGGAAAACATAGGCCTATCAACTCCACTTCTACTCTTTGTGTTTCAAGACCTAATGAGTCTGTTTGGATCATTGTTTTGTACAGGGGTTTTGTAGCTACTTCAGAGTCACGCTTACCTTGCTTTGTTCCAAGTGCTCCAGAGCTTCCTTATAAGACCTTGGAATTTGGGACAAAGATTGTCCAAGAATCTTTTCCAGTTCATTAAGATTAGCACATACCTTCTCTTTGATTTTTGTGTAGCTTTTGTATTTTTCAAAGCACCTATGAAACACAATTAGCAAACTACTCAAACTTTACTATAATTCCTCCTTGCCTCAGTTTTAATGCACGGTGTAATAATAAATGTAACAAACAAACAGATCTGAACAAATATATCTTTTAAAGCAATACTTGCCGAATATTTTAGGTTTGATATCAGAGATACCTCAAAAATTGAGGTATACAATGGCCTCCAGATACCAATTATTTTTTTCTTTTACCCACCACCCTGTTGCAAAGAAATAATGTATATGAACATACACACACACCAATTGTGTATGTAGGACCTGAAGACGTTCGTGCTCTCCTGTTGCTCGGCCGGGGAGCAGCCCAAAAGAAGAAGAATTCAACAAGTCCTGTTCCCAGAGTTGCTTTTCACGTTATTATTGACATAATCAAAGACATTAGATCACAAGCAAAGAATTAAACAAACAAAAAAAGCAAAAAGATAAAATGAGCTTTCAGTACACGTATCTGAGGGCCGGGAACAGAAGACACTGTGTTCTGCGTGTTGATTTTGCCTTGACTATCTCCAGTTACACCTCTACCACAATATAACGCGACCCGATATAACACGAATTCGGATATAATGCGGTAAAGCAGTGCTCTGGGGGGACAGGGCTGCGCACTCCGGCGGATCAGAGCAAGTTCGATATAATGCGGTTTCACCTATAACGCGGTAAGATTTTTTGGCTCCTGAGGACAGCATTATATCAGGGTAGAGGTGTACTAGAATGGCCTGTGAAAGGGGCATGTTAGGCTAACTGTTGTACCAGAGGCAAAGCCTCAGATTATGGAGATGCTCTGTCTCCCTGTTTGATCCCTGCACCAGACTCAGTGCTGGCTGGTATACTTATTTGAATATATTCAAAGCAAATGCTTTATACATTAATTTAAATATGCCTCGTCTAGAGTAATTTTCACACATTAGAATAGCATCTGGGAACAGCATGTATTTGCACAGAGCCATTTTTATTAAACTATAAGGATCCATCACAGTAAAAACGAGATTCCACCTTTACTGTCAATCATCTTCCTTGTATCATTGCCTACATAGATCACTTAAACCTACCTCTGCATATCAGTTCTCTTTCTTTGCGCCTTCTCCCTTAGTATTGAATTCTTAGTGACTAGCTCACTTAAAGTATTTTTCAGTTGTGGTTTGGCACTTGGTTTAATTATGTTTTCCAGTTTGGAGGTCAGATCCTCTATGTCTGCCTTTGCAGACTCAAATTCTTCTTGTTTCCAATGTAGAATTTGGCAGGACTCTTCTAGGCTACCAAGATCAACTTTTGCTGAGAGAATTCTGGCTTCATATTCAGTGAGGAGATCCACAGCCCTTTGGACAGCTTTGGTATAAAGTTTAACATTCTCATGAGCTTCATCTATGGCATTCTGAAAGCATTTAAGAGACAAAATGATCAATCAAGAAAAACTGCAGGACACAATGGATTGCAAAATGGCCATTTCAGAGAAATGACATGAGTCGGCCTGGCAGGTGATGCTCTCAGAGGCCATTGGGGGTATGTCTACGCGGGGATAAAAAAACCACCGCTGGCCTGGGTCAGCTGACTTGGACTCACACGGCTCAGGCGCCAGGGCTGAAAAATTGCTGTGTAGACGTTCAGGCTTGGGATGGAGCCCAAGCTCTGTGACTCTGCGAGGATGGAGGGCCCTAGAGCTCATGCTCTAGCCTGAGCCCAAACATCTACACAGCAATTTTTAGCCCCATGAGCCCGAGTCAGCTGACCCAGACCAGCCGGGGGTATGCCACAGGGCTTTTATCCCAGTGTAGAAGTACCATGGGACAGAGTCAGGAAGCATGGTAAGTACATGACACTTTCGTGCCAGCAAGTCATAGCAGTGTTGCAATCTTAGAATGACTGATCACACTCACAGTCGCAGGGTGAGTGCTGAAATTTCAGCTGTTGCCAAAGTACTGTGGGGTAGGGGTGGTAGGGAGCAGGGCTTTGTTAATGGAAACTGCATTCCTGACTAAGGAGTGGATGAAAGCCCTAGAGCCTTCATACAGACTTGGGAAGATGAGGATACCTGTGCATATTACCCTTAGTAATGTCCATAAAGCAAAGGAAAGCCCACATGTGTATACTCAGGGCTGCTCTCATCTATCCAAAGGGGCCATAATCCATTCCGAGACTGCACTTTTCTGTGACCTCTCCCAATCCCCTCCACACACTCAAATATATGTGGCTGGGGATTCCCCCAAGCCAGGGAAATGACAAGCAGGGTGGATATGGCAGCTTTCTGCTCCCTGTATGCCACTGGAATGGCGCAAAAGAAGTGCAACAGGCCAGAGAATCTGGCACTGTTTGATTATAGTAAGTTTAACACAAATAATTTCGTTCATTGGCATCATGATCTAAAAAGTAACTAATAATCCAACCACTCCTGAGACGGCTATGAAGGTTTCAATCTTAATCAGTTACTTGACTTAACAGAGTATCTACAAGTCATGAAAATATTAACACTGTAGTGAGGATACTCCTGGACAGATAATCAAGACTTACAAAAGGATGTACAATCTTATTTACTCTACTAAAGATACTTACTACACGGGAAGCAATATCTGTCTTCAGCTGTATTTCAAGATCTTCCAGTTCATCTAATTTTGCTTCTATACCAGCAATAAAATAAGATTTTTCTTCTTGCTTTTCTTTCTCTTTACCCACTAGATCTTTCAGGGCACAAAATTCTGCTTGCACCGTGTCTTGCATTGCTTCACAATGCATCTTTTCATACTGAATTTTTTTCATTTCCAAGTCTACCAGAAGAGGCTGCTGAAACTCAGATTTAATCTTCTTTATGGTATGTAATGTGTATTCCAATTTGCTCTGGAAATCTTGTTTATTTACATACTCTGCCTGAAGATCCACTATCATGTTTTGGAAAAATTGATGCAACTCATCAATATCTTCCTCCAGTCTCTTTATTTGCTGTGTCTTAGCCTCTTTGAGTGATACATCAAAGACTTCATTTATATTTAATTGATTTACTGCCTCCTGGATTAAGTACCTGATTTGTTGAACTCTGTGGCACAAAATTTGTGCTGATATAAAATTGGTTTCTGTGGAAGAGCCAGGGCTATTTGTTAGTATGTCAGCTTCATTCTTTATACTGGATGTCATGGCCTGGATTTCATTTAGCAATGCTTGATGCCTGTCATATTCTATAACAAAGTTGTCAAAGCATTTAATCTTCCCTTCAAGTTTATTTTTAATTTCAAGAAATAGAGTTTGCAATTCATCATGGTGTGAAGTGTCCCAATTTAGCCTTATAAAATCAAATATTTCCTTGTACTTCGTTATTTGTATCAAACTAGATTGAACAGCTAAGGTTCTCTCTTTAAGCACATTGAGTTTATCCTTAACTTCTTCTTTTACACTTAATATTTCCTCTCTCTCCAGTTTCAATACATCACACCATAGATCATTAAGCTCCTGATGCAATGAAGTTATTCTTTCAGAGAGATCTGTGTAGACAGCTATCTTTTTTTCCACTGTATGGCATTTATTCTGGATTAACTTCTGTATTTTCCTAGCTCTATTCTTAAGGCATCTTAATTGGTCAGTTAGAAATAATTGTTCGAATATGTTTAGCTCCCCATGTGAGTGCTCACTCTCTTGGAGATGTGATGAGATGAGACCTTCCATCTTCTGTATTTCCTTTGAAAGCTCCTTTAAAATGACATGTAAAGTGCCTAGCTCAGAGCACGTGATTGTTTGATTTAGGTCAGGAATGGTCACTGTCTCAGCACTTTGAAGCTGGCTGTGAACTCTTTCTATGTCTGCAATAAGCCTCTGCCTTTTTTCCAGTTGGAATTCTAGCTGTTGTAATCTTTGAGCTGATTTTAAAACAAGCGCCTGGTATGAATTCTGTAATTCTTGTAACAGGGCGCTCAGGTCAGTAACTTCCTCTGGATTCAAATCAGGAATGATACATTGGGTCTCATCAGCCAGTGACCCAATAGTAGACTCTTTGTCTATCGCTGCACTGTTCACAGCCTTGCAATTTCTGATCTGTATTTTAATATCATCTGGGAAAAGTGCTGCCTTCTGATCAAGAGAAAACAATGAATCTTTGACCCATGATATATTCTCTTTCATCCTTCTCATGATTTCGTATTTCTTGGGATCACAGCTAAGGAACTGAACATCCTCCTGAGGAGTTTGGTGCTCCAATACTTCCAACTGATTCTGCAAATCATTTATTGAATTTTCCAAAGTTTTCTTTTCTTCCTCACTCCAAATCCTTTTCATCTGCAGCTCAGTGCTTCTTTTTAACAAAGAAACACTGTGTTTAATGGCTTGCAGCTCTGAGGTCCAAAATACTGGACACTTGGTTTTTTGTCCATCTGGGGAACTCAACCCAGCTTGTAAGTGCTGCTGGTGCTCTATCAACTTTTGAATGTCCTGTGCTTTGTTCATGAGAAGGTTAAATTCGTCAATTTCTGACACAAGTTGATAACGTTTCTTTTGCACTGATTGCTCTATGTGTTCCCACCATCGCTCAAGTTGTTTCACTTGGCTTTCTGTTAATTCCTTATCTAGGCATGTCAGATACCTAGATAAATTATCTTGTTCAGTTTTCAGCTTGTTTAAAGTGTCTCTCTCCTTCTGTACTGAATCCATACATTTTTTAATTTTCTCCAGAACTGTGTTGCTCATAGGACCCCTGTCAATAAAATTATCAAGATTTAAAACAATCTTCCAGAATTAGAATTAGAAGAATTAGACACGTTTTTAAATGAGAATTTTGTTGTATACCCACCAACCAGAAAATTATTCACTCAGAAAAGTAATCAATATACATTTTCCTTTTTTAAAATTTTCTTAACCTGGTAAGTTATACTTTTTACAGTATACAGTTATTTCCCACGTAATCCCAGGAAGAGTTGACTATCCTTTCCAATTACTGCAATAACAATAATTTCCAGTGTATGAACTGCATAGGAATAATATTCACTAACGTAATGTGTGCAGTTCTTTAGAGGAGTTATCTTGTAGCCCACTTTTAAAGCTAAACAAAAAGTAAACTTCAATAACAATATTAAATCAGTTGTGGGTAAATTAACACTGTTGTATAGTAACTTCCAATGTAAAAATGAATGGAAAAGTTTGGAATCAATTATAAGATTCACATTTATTGAGGCTGAATCAATCTATTTGATTAAATCGATAAGACTTTTGCTCCTAAGACTGCTTTTGAAAATCCTACCTTAAATCCATTTAATAGTTTATATTTTAATTCAATTCTGTGCAACCACTTAAACATAAACAAATAATTCCATAAGTAATTTTTAAAGTGTTTTCAAATAAACTGGCTCATTATTATGATTTATAGGTTAGTTCCATACCTTGAAGGCTAATTTGAAAAACATACTAAATATGAAAGTGTACTGGTTATCTTTGGCTTAGTACTGGCAGATTTAGAATCATAGAATATCAGGGTTGGAAGGGACCTCAGGAGGTCATCTAGTCCAACCTCCTACTCAAAGCAGGACCAATTCCCAGACAGATTTTTGCCCCAGATCCCTAAATGGCCCCCTCCAGGATTGAAATAACAACCCTGGGTTTAGCAGGCCAATGCTCAAATCTTCTGACTACAGAAAATAACACTGTCCCTATCAGTTAAAGTTCATTTGCAGAATATGAAAATATTTCAGTAAACAGCAAATGGGTACCTGATCTTCTTAATGTGTCAGATTTTTTAAAAATAATACCTTTTACCTCCTATTTTTGTCATTTGTTAACAAAGAAAGATGGCGATCTATTTTGTATCTGCCATGACTTCGGAAAAAATATTTTAATAATACAGCACTTAGATAGTAAATTTTGCAGGGTAGGGACCATCTGTTTGTTATGTGTCTGTAAAGCATGTAACTCAATGAGGCTAGGATCTCTAGATGCTAGCATAGCAAAAAGTAATAAATAATAATAATAGTTTTCATAGCCATTGTTACTGAAGTGCTCTAGATGCAATGTAATGTTATTACCAATATACTAATTGGTTTGGACTAAACCAATTTTTGCTCTGTCCTTATATAACTTATATAACAGGGAGGGATAGCTCAGTGGTTTGAGCATTGGCCTGCTAAACCCAGGCTTGTGAGTTCAATCCTTGAGGGGACCACTTAAGGATCTGGGGCAAAATCAGTACTTGGTCCTGCTAGTGAAGGCAGGGGGCTGGACTCGATGACCTTTCAGGGTCCCTTCCAGTTCTATTAGATAGATAAGTAACTTCAGTTAAATCAATACAGTGCCATATTCAGATTTCAGTTATACCAGTGCATACCTAGAGTAACTTCATTTAGGTTGATTTACATCAGTTACACTGATGTAAATCACTGATGTAATAGAGATCCAAGTGTGGTCCCCATAGAGTAAACTAAAAAAGTTCCTTGTACTTACATTTTTATGTTTTCTTTTTCTGTTGATAAACTTTTCATTGAAGACTGAACAGCAGACAGATTTTCCTGATAATCATTAACTAGATGATAATGGTGTTGCTTAACCTTCTTAATGGCTTCCAATTCTTGAAGCAACCTGTCCCAGCAAGAAACAATACATTCTGTGCTTTGCAGGTTTGATGTGCTCATTTCTGTTGTGTTGGGTGACAACTCTTGCCTCAGAGACAAAGCCGTGGCTCTCTGTTTTTCCAGTTCAGTGTATAAATTCTACAGTCACATCCACAAACAGTGAAAAAAAGAAAGAGAATTAAAGAGAATTTTCACCATTTTTACTTCCTACCGTCTTTACAAAATATGGTTAAAATTGCAGTTTTGTGTACACATGAACACACATGCATGCTCAGTTACATGTGAGCATACACACAGATGCACATAGGCACATGCATGTACATACACACATAATCACATATATACGTACAATTGCACATCAGCAGACAAGTATAAAACAGGTATATTTGCATGCAAAGACAAACATTTACAGATATATAGTTTATGCAGATGGATTTACACAAACTATGTTTTCACACGGTTGATCATAGAATCATAGAAATGTAGGGCTAGAAGGGACCTTGAGAGGTCATCAAATCCAGCCCATTGCACTGAGGCAGGACCAAGTAGACCTAGACCATCTCTGACAGATGTTTGTCCAATGGTTTATTAAAAACCTCCAACGGAGATTCCACAACTTCCATTGGAAGCCCATGCCAGAACTTGACTACCCTTACAGTTAGAAATTTTTTCCTAATATCTAGTTTAAATTGCCCTTGCTGCAGATTAAGCCCATTATTTTTTGTGGATCTAGATAACAATTAATCACTGAACTCTATAAAATAGCTCTTAATATATTTGAAGACTGTTATCAGGGCTTATCTCAAGACTCAATGTGCCCAGTTTTTTCAGCCTTTCCTCTTAGGTCAGGTTTTCTCAACCTTTCATCATTTTTGTTGCTCTCCACTGGACTCTCTCCAATTTGTCCACGTCCTTCCTAAATTGTGGCACTCAGAATTGGACACAGCACTGCAGCTCAGGCCTTGCGAAGTGCCGAGTAGAGCCGGACAATTACTTCCCATGTCTTACATACAACACTCTTATTAATACACCCCAGAATTATATTAGCCTTTTTCGCAACTCCATCAGGTTGTTGGCTTATAGTCAATTTGTGATCCACTATAAACCCCAGGTCCTTTTCAGCGCTATTACTGCCTAGCAAGTTATTCCTCATTTTGTAGTTGTGCATTTGATTTTTCCTTCCTAAGGGAAGTACTTCGAACTTGCCTTTACTGAATTTCATCTTGCTGATTTCAGACCAATTCTCGAATTTGTCCAGGTTGTTTTGAATTCTAATCCTGTCCTCCAAAATGCTAGCAACACCCCCCAGCTTGGTGTCACCTGCAAATTTTATAAGTATACTCTCCACTCCATTATCTAAGTTATTAATGAAAATATTGAATAGTTCTGGATCCTTGACTGTCCCCTGCGAAACCCCACTAGATACACATGCCCAGTTTGACAGCAAACCATTGATAACTGTTTGAGTACAGTCTTTCATCCAGTTGGGCACCCACTTTATAGTAATTTCATCTAGATCACATTTCCCTAGTTTGCTTACAAGGATGTCATGTGGGACTGTGTCATTAGTCCAATGTAGAATGAGACTATATGTAACAGTTTAATAGTTTTGTGATTAGCTATATTATACCACATTGAATAAACTCATCTATGTAATTAGTGAGGGAATGAGTTTGCTGGTTCCATACCTCTATCTCTTTTAGTTGCTCACTTACTAACACAACATCCAATTCTGCAGTTTGATTTTTCAGCTCAGCGACCTTTTGTTCCTCCCCAATATATTCAGCATTTGCTTGGGCTTCAGGAAGAAGCTGTTTCTGGAAAACCATTTCCACATTTGAACCCTGGAATGTAAAACAGAATTTTTCATTCTGCAATATACATAACAATGAAGGATCTCTACTTTTATTGTTTCTACTTAGCCCCATGTGTTCCAGCTATGCCCAAATCCTGCCACTCTTTCCTCCACAGCATCTCTACAACCCATTCTTTTCTTTCTGTCCCTGCAGCTAAAATTCTCATACAGACCCTTGTCCTCTCCTGCTTGGATTATCTCAGCCTGCTCTTCTATGGTCTCCCAGATCATTCACTAATACAGTTCATACAAGTGCTAAGATGTTGCCCATCATTCTGATGATGTCATCACCACTTTGAATTCCTCCTCAGCTTACCCTCCTCCATTGCATCTTCTTCAGGCTATTTATCACTGTCCTGCTTAACTCTCTCCCACCCTACTCATCTGCTCTTGTTTCACTTTGCTCCCAAACCCCCTTTGTTTAGCAGTGATGCCAGCCTCAGCACATCATTTGTTTCCTTTGTCATAACCATCTCCATGCTCCCCATACATGGAATGCCCTTTCTTGACCATTTGCAAGATCACTATCCTCTCCATGAGCTGACTGATAATGGGACGTTTGAGGAGTATTTGCGAATAGTCTATATATTGCGGTTGATAGGGAGGATGGCCTGGTGCTTAAGGCACTGGACAGGGAAAGGGGTTTAATTCATGGTGCTGCCACCAACTCCTTGTATGACCTTGGGCAAATCACTTAAATCTCTCTGTGCCTCAATTCCCCATCCGTAAAATGGAGATAATACTACTTCCCTTCCCCAACCCTTTATTTAGATTGTAAGCTCTTCGGGGCAGGGACTGTCTCTGACTATGAGTATGTACAGAACCTAGCACAATGGGGCCTGGTATCAGTGGGAGGTTCCAGGTGGCACCATAATATACATAATAATACAAATATCTTTTGTCAGCACAACACTGTTTTACTAAGAGGTGTCCAAGTATCACCTCGGCCATCTGGTTTATCTGTTGTACCACCACCCACAACTCTCTGTCTGTCTCTGCTTATACTGTGAGCTCCTCAGGGCAGGGACCGTGCCATCTGCTCAGTTTGGAAAGTGCCTTGCACATAAGTTGCTATCGGAAATAAATAAGATAATAACAACAAAAATTAACACTCTTCTTGTTCCCTTTTCACTGTGAACCAAATATATCCAGTCAGGAAAATCAAATAACCAGGGAACTTTTCCATTTACCCTAACTACACAGCTACAGCAATTGTATCGACTAGACTGAAACACCAGGTTTCATCTTAAAAGGCCCTGAAGGACCATGAAATTGAAGGAAATGAAAAAAGTCCGCTAGCTGTCAGAGAGTAAGTGGGAAGACGGCATCATCAGACGGAACGTAAGTCACAAACATGAAGAAACAAGTGAAATGAAAGTAGGGAAAATGCAGGGTGGTATTATATGGTGTACATTTCTCTTCATATGTATGTGGGGTTTCAGGTGCTACACATGCTGAGGCCCAACCTAACACAGCCAGACAAGGGAGTAATTCCTCTCCCTCAAATCTCCCCTGCACAGTAGAGTTAGTGCTCCCAACATTGCTGTGTTAGGAAAAAGAAGAAACAAGTAATCAAAAAACCTTAATCAGACATGCTGACTAATAATTACAGTATTTCAAATGACAAGGTGGTGAACCCTACACTTACAAATAAATGAGGCAAACGCAACTACGACACGTAAAAGATTACACCGGGCAAGGTTATGGTAAGGAAGATGATTTACATGAAGAAGCAGAACTGTAATTTTGTCATACAAATGTTTTGAAAAATTACGGTTAGTGATGTATTAGCTCTCTTCTTCTGACTTACACTTTTTACATTGCTTTATATGTGGGATGCACTAGCTTCCTGTCGAAGTGTTGGTTTTGATCTATAAAGCCCTACCTGGTCTGGTTCTTGGATACATATGGTAAAAGACTACACGTCTCTTCCTATGTACCAGTCTAATGCTTGAGATTGACTGATGCCCTTCTGCACTCTCAATGGAGTAGAATCCTGTGGGACACAAGGCAAAATATTCTCAGAGAATGGTCCCCAGCCCTGGAATTTGCCTTGTTTTGGTCCAGCAAGCCTCTGTATATAGTGAGGCATTTTCTGGAAGTGGATTCAACAGGGCGTTTTGCTCAGTTTTATTTATGTTTGAATGAAATTTGGGCTAGATAGTGGTTTGAGCATTGGCCTGCTAAACCCAGGGTTGAGAGTTTAATCCTTGAGGGGGCCATTTAGGGATCTGGGGCAAAAATCTGTCTGGGGATTGGTCCTGCTTTAAGCAGGGGGTTGGACTAGATGACCTCCTGAGGTCCCTTCCAACCCTGATATTCTATGATTCTCAGTGTCCCACAGAGATTATGACCCGGAGTAAGGAGCACTGCATTTTTGCACTGCCTCAGGAGCAGCCCAAGAGGGAAAGTCACAATCTCCCTCCCAGCTCCCCAGCTGCTCCAAGGAAGGAACAAAAGTGCACTGGTCTATACATCTGCCAACACATCTGTTGCAGCAAATACATTGTCTCAAGGGCAGTGGGGGGGTGAGGTCAGAACCAAGACTTCACACAATCCTGCCCCATTCCAGTCCCCTGCATGGTGGGAGAACACGTAGGCTCTGCTTCCACTCCCATGCTGCTACCCAGGATACAGATAGCCAGCACAAGGGAGTACGGGGCGACTTACACACCCTTATTCCTTTGCTCCAGCACAAAGCACAAGCCACAATCTGGTCATTACAGGTTTCTGTAACCAAACTCTGGTTATTGTATAGGTACAGTAGTAGATACTAATTACATCTGGCCAGACACTACGCAAAGAGCACATGTTTTTATAAACTGAAATACAGATATACATATAGGCGGGGTAAAATGCTAAAAGAACATCACAGGTGTAGACTTATTTCCAGCGTCAAGTGGCTTGCAACATAGCGTTGTCAGCAAATCACTTCAAGGCCACCCACACGGATGAAATAAATCAATCCACGTGTATTTCGAGTGTATAGGATAACTTCTCATATTCATTATCATGGAGTTAGAGACGTCAATCCCCACACACCGAGGCGAGAATACGTCAGTGTAACTGAATGGGGTGTTTATTGCTATCATTCCCTTTGTAATTAAACTTTAAACGTGTATTTTTTTTTATTCAGCTGACCCTTACCACCTTGAGTACAATTACCTCCTCTTTTTGATTAATTGCCTTTGTCATTTCGTTATCATCACACAGAGTAGTAGGAAACATTTTCAGCTGTGCTCCGCTTCCCTGCATGCTACCCTGTTCAGTCACCACCGGCATCCCTATATTGTGCTTCCCCTGGTTTGTTTGTTTTTTAAAGTTTACTATTAGTAAAGAGCTACATGCGGACACCAATACTCACACAGAGTAGTGTCCTACTCCACTGTGGTCCCACTAAAGTCAGTGGAACTGCTCGTGGAGGAAGGTCCTCGCTCTTAACCCACAGTCAAAGCATCAAAATTTGCTCTTAAATGATTAGTTAGAGTCAAGATGTATGATATTTATTCAACTGAGCTTTAGCCTATGAAGACATGCAGGAGAGCCACCCAAAGGGGAGGGGAGCTAGCGGGACACCCGGATGATGTGAAGTCAGTGTCAGGAATGAGGGTCTGCAGCAGCACCTGGCAGTCGCCAGGCAGCAAAGGAGCACAGCTGGGCCCTAGCAGAGACACTGGATTGGCTAAGGCAGTCAGGTGGCATGCTCTTAAGCCCAACAGCTGCAGAGGCTCAGCAGCTGTTCACTGCACATGCCTCTGGATTTGCTACCTCGGTGTACCTGCCTCACTGCAAGCCCTGCTCCTGCCTTGCTGTAGCCTAGACCCTGCCCTGAACCCAGCCTTCCTCCAGTCCGGTCCCAGCCCTGCTCCTGCCTTCGACTCCATTTAATCCGGTTCTGAGCTTCAGCTCTGATTCCTGGCTCTGACTCTGTCCTGACCCTTGGCTTTGGCCTTCAGACTCTGACTATAGTTCTAACCTTGGACCCTGGCTCCCGAGCCTGACTCCTGCTCTGACAGCCAGCGATGGTGGAAAATCAATAAAAAAGGCCTAAATCTATATGTAGGACAATATAATGGTGAAAGGGGCACTAGCTACCTATTCATAAATCAAGTTGTGCCCTGAAAGCATTTTAAACAATCTAGACGCCCTTCTAGAAAAGTAACTCAGACCTCAATTCTGTAAGCGGATCCCATAGAAGCTCAGCACAGGCATGAGTCCACCTGTGCAGATCTGCTTGTCGAATCAGGACCTTAATTTCTACCAAAAAAGTTATGTCATTATTCCCACAACTTCTAGTATTTGTACCATAACTTCTCCTTAAAGGTACCTGACAATCCTACAGCGGTAGTCATGATCCTTCTTCCTTCTCCTAGAGGCATTTGTATTTCTGTTTTCCACAATGTTTTGGTGGTCTTTTCTCTGCCTCAGTTTTACCCATGGGCTGGGAGACAGGTTTAACAGTGGTTCTTTGAGTGATCTCTTCACATTCCACCTTTGGAGTCAAGGCACCTGTGCCTTGAGCCAACCTGCACCACTGGCACATTGCGTGCGGGTAAACAAGCAGAGGTCACATCAAAGAACTCCGGCTACAGACAGGTAACCTTTATTTCTCCAAACAATAGTGCATGTCCCACTGTGATCCACACACATTACTGTTCCTTTCTTTATTCTTGACATCATGACATGTAAAGCTATATACACACACACACACCTTAACCTTTAATTAGAACTTATTTCTCTGTTACCTGAGCTGTTTGCTCTTGTGTGTTCTTGCTTTGATGTGAATCTTTTAGGGGACTGTCTGCCAATAATCTACTTTCTTCAGAATACAGATTATTTTGTTGCTCTTTCTCTGCTACATTTCCATGTAAACCTTGACCCTAAGAGAATCAGTAAAAAAACAACATTTAAAATGAAAAATATTAACCTATGAAACAATTATAATCTACAGAAAGAGGTAAAAAAAATCCTTGTACTGAGAGGCTGGCACAAAGGAAGTAGAAACCTTTTAGCTTTAAAAGCCGTCTCTTATTTTGTTATAAAACTACTACAAAAGAAGCTGTTTAGGATTTACTGTCAAACAATGGCACAGCATGTTTTCTCTTTTACCACTTCCTCTTCTCACTCTCCTTGAAACTCCTGACCCAAATATTCAATCTGATTATATAAAAGACAGAAACTGAAGCATGAATTGAAGATTGATGTTGTGACGTTGCACTCTATATGATTTTATGAAAATATGCTAATGTGAATATAATGTAACTGGAATATGCTTCATGAAAAAGGTCTCTTGTAAGGTATCATTACAAAGCTTATAATCTACTGCATGTGTTCATCCTATTTGTATAAATGTATCACTCTTGTATCTGAAACTAGAAATATGAAATATAACTCTGAGGTCCTACTGTAGTTATGCAAAGTGTGGGCCATTAATGGTGGTTTGGAATCTTGATGGCTCCCATCAACCAGGATAATTGACTGTGGATTGCTCTATTTGCTTGCAGGCCTTCCTGTGAGTCAGGCTGGGAGGAATGAAGGCTTGGAGTCTTACAGTGACATGTGATCATGTCACCTGAACTGGAATCCATCTTTAGCCTGGTGCTTTTCCATTTAGAAGGAGGGGTGGGAACCCAGAGAGGGACAAAGGATTCCCGCCTTGTGGAAAAGATATATAAGGGGGTGGAACAGAACAAAGGGGGCTGCAATCATGAGAAATCCCCTAGCTACCACCTGCGCTGGAACAAGAGCTGTACCAGGGGAAAGGATTGTGCCCAAACTAGGAAGGTATCCAGTCTGTGATAGAAGCTTATTGAAACATCTCTGAGGATGAGATTTTATCTGTATTCAGCTTTCTTACTGTATTTCTTACTGTATTAGGATTAGACTTGCGTGTTTTATTTTATTTTGCTTGGTAATTCACTTTGTTCTGTCTGTTATTACTTGGAACCACTTAAATCCTACTTTCTGTATTTAATAAAATCACTTTTTACTTATTAATTAACCCAGAGTATGTATTAATACCGGGGGGGGAGGGGAAACAGCTGTGCATATCTCTCTATCAGTGTTATGGAGGGCGAACAATTTATGAGTTTACCCTGTATAAACGGATTTATTTGGGGTTTGGACCCCATTGGGAGTTGGGTACCTGAGTGTTGGAGACAGGAGCTGTTTTCAGTTAAGCCTGCAGCGGTTGGGGGACGTGGTTCAGACCTGGTTCTGGGTTTGTAGCAGGCTAGCATGTCTGGCTCAAAGCAGGCAGGGCACTGAAGTCCCAAGCTGCCAGGGAAAACGGGCTCAGAGGTGGTCTCAGCACATCAGTTGGCAGTTCCCAAAGTGGGTTTCTGTGATCCAACCCATCACAGTAGAGGGAGTATCACGCTATTGTAATGTGCTGAACAGGTGTGGAGAATTCTTTTACGTGCTTTGGATTTATAATTGTGCAATTAATGGAAAGTTTTATTAGGAAACTGAAAAGGTGCAATTAATTACATGCTTTTGAGAGACTGATGCCTCTTCGCCCAGAATTTCTCATTCTGGTTGTCATAAACACACATACTTACGTTATTTAGTTTCCAGCATTCTTCCAGCTCTTCTGTTCTGCTGTTCTCTTCAACAGCAAAGGGAATATCAGAAAAGACCTGCTTCTCTCTCTTTATCATTGTATCTGCCTTATCCTGTGTCTTTATTTCAACAGCAAATGCATGCTTTGACTCAGGGGTGTCACTGAGAATATTCTCACCCTCTTGCTTGACATTTTTAAGTCTGTCCTTCAAATTCCTGTGTTTACACTGAAGTGTTTCCATTTCATCCTTAGTAATCTTCTGTCCTGGCGAAGAGGTGTTTTGTTCAACAGATTCTGCTAAAGCCAAAATCTTCTTTAATGTGTCTTCACATTGACTAAGAGGTGCCTGTTCCTTTAAATGAGAGGAAAACATTTTTTATTGAAAAGTGTCTTCATTCAATTTACCCAATGTTAAGAAGACATTTGTAATAAATAATAAATAATAATAATAATAATAGCTGTATACAGTGAATTACTAAAATCATTAACTTTTGTCATGAAGGGCAACTTATGCTGCAAGACTCATGAAATATTCAGGTAAGCCTGCCTACTTGACGGCTGCAGAAAGTCAAATACTGCAACTGTATTTTTAAAGACAGCTGGATGCTTTTGTGATCAGGAACAACATCTGCAACTATATAAATTAATGGAACAATCACATTTTATGCCTCAGGGCATATGCTGTACTTGGCAAGGTTTAAGAAGGAAGTCTCCTTCCTCCCCACACCTCTATTATATACTGCATTTAACAACCTCTTAGAGGGACAATGAGGGAGTTAACTTTCTTCTGAAGCAACAGGAATTCCCTGGTGTTGGAGTCAGGGTGCCTAACTTGACAGACCAATGGTCTGAGCTGGTATGTCATCCTTCAATATCTTTCTACACTCAGTGACAACACTGATATTCCTTTGAAGCATATTTTCACAGAATCAAAAATACCAGGTTTTTAATAAAGATTTAATACTCAAACTGGCTCATGCAATTGTCTGGTCTGTCTCAACCCGAGCTACTCTATCCAGACAGTCTGCATTCAGAACACGGGCTAATTTAGACACAACAGCCATATGTTTGAGAATCACTCTCTTTCTTGTGCCCTCTGAACAGAAGTTGAGTTTTGGAAATCTAAATGATCTAGGGCCCGAGTCTGCTTCCAGTGAAGCCAACAGCAAAAGTCCCTTGACTCCATTGGGAGCAGGGTCATAGATGCAGTTACCTCAGAAAAGGTACATCACCCACACTTTACATTTTGGAGGGGGCGGGGTGGTTTAGTCAACTGGATTAATATAATTAACTCTCCTCCTTTATAAACGCAGTACTGTCTTGAAGCTCTGTGATCCTGCAGCAGGGATCCATTAACAATAGTATCCAAAAACTGCATCATACCTGCAATTTCAACTGCTGCTGTTTCTCAGCTGCTGGCTTTTCCACTGAGATCTCAGTACAATGACAAAGCTCCGCTGATGGTCTCTTCAGCGAGCTACTCAAGGCTGCCAGTGTATCCTGGAACACTTGGTGTTCTTGACCATGACCTTCCAGTGCCTGCGCGGAGTTCTAGAAGCCAAGCAGTTTCTACATTTAGTGCAGTGTTACCTCATTCAAAACACAGCACATATGGATGGATGCTTACAGAAGGGTTTAAATAGCACTGCTAGGGAATTAAAGTGTTTAGAAATTAAAAAGGTTGCCAGTTATTTGCATCTAAAACTAATGGCAACTGTACTTCACCATGATCAAACAAACAGGCAGATCCATCCCTTGGACAGTTGTATCCCTCCCATCACTGCGTTGTAAAAAAGCACAGTCTTAAATGTAGTTGTACGAAAATCTCTGTTTGTTATTCTCCTTCCCATAATCACTTGTCTATCTTTAGAATGTAAGCTCCTCTGGTCAGGGGTTGTCCCTTCTTGAATGTCTGGAAAGTATCTAGCCCATTGTGGGCACCACCATAAACAAACAATAAACAGGATGTGGAGAACATGCCCAGGGAGACCACATTGCACAGCTGTGCTCCTCAGAGGATCTATCTTCTCTCCGAACATGAAGGATATTGGGAGGGAGAACATCAGGGTAGGTGCAGAGGCAAAGCCAGCGGATCGACACCTATGTGGAACCAACAGCTAACCCTCATCCTCCTGCCTGAGGGAGGAGGACACAACAGCGGTGAAGGCTACAGTAGCTCTGTAGGAACAGATTAGTAAAAGGCCTCTTTCTCCTCTTCTTGCACTTTGTAACCATTTACCCCTGTACCAATAGATGCAAAATGCTAATGTTCTGATTTGTTGTTTGTCAGTATTTCACACTCACCTGCCCCCACTTTGTGTAATCATTTACTCCTGGGCAAAGTGCAAGGCAGTAGAGGATCAAAACCTTAAGTGGTTCCCCCTTCCACTCTGTGGCCTGGGGAAGGATTCTGTACCTACCAATTTGCAGAGGAACTCACCACTAACAACTATTTCAGCTTTGCCCAGCAGAGAAGATTTGGCTTTAACTATTTCACTACAGGAAACTAGTAAAGAAGTTCACTTCAGAGTGTCCTCACTTTGTACCACAACATTCTGATCTGATAGCTAAATGAGATAACAAGCAAATAATGAGAACTTTAAATAATTAGGTATACGAAAACTAATAATATGATAAGGAAATATGGCATGATTCCAACCTGCAACTGGCGGAGCAGACTTTCATGCAGATATTTTAGTTCTATCCGTGATTCTTCCATGAAGCAGGAATCCTCAATGCAATCCCGTAGGTAATCTCCTTGGCTTTCTAATTCATTTAATAGGAACATTAAACCTTCTGCTTTCTGCAGGAGTTTTATATAACTTGTTAACTGAGTTTGTTTCTCCTGCAAACCAGCCTGAACATCAAAACCGAATTCCTGCTGCTGCTTCTTCAGTTCAGTCAGCACTAATCTCAAATCTTCTTTGCTTTGTGTGTATCGTTTGTCTTGAAGTTGAATCTGTTCTTGGTGGCTTGAAGAAGGGGGGGAAATATAATAATAGAATTCAAGGATTTTGTATTATTTGTTTTGAAATATTAAACTGCAGACATTAAATCATTAGATCCAATTATAATCATGAGGTTTATTCTTTGAGTTGTAAATTACCCATAAATAGTAAGGCATGAATTTTCAAAGGGGGCATAAGGGAGTATAGCATCCAAATTTCATTGCATTTCAGTGGTGGTTGAGTGCTTAAATCCCTTAGGCTCCTTTTAAATCTCAGCCTATGAAAACATAGTTGTTAGAATCTGAGACCTGCTGCTCATGCTGTATATTCTTTGCTTCTCATTCCAATTCAAGTTTTATTTTTAACTACTAAGTTAAACTTACTGTCTTTATGAACCTTTTGTTGAAGGGTTCTTGAAAAATGTAATATACTGTAGAAAATATACATATTACCTTTTCATGATCATGAAAAGGATTTAAATACTGTGAAAAACAGGCAACTATAATTACTCATACAAAAGGCGAGCAGCACACTCAAATTTTCCTATATGTTCATACATTCAGTGGGTAAGTAAATATATTTTGCAGATGGAACTTATGTGCCAATAATTGAAAATATGACCTATTATGAACAGATCAAAATAAATAGATGTAGCTAAGTCCAGAGTAACATTATTAATTTAATGTAAAACAGTGACTAGAACCCAGAAAAGAATTCTTCTTGAAATGTGCCCACTGCAACCTTTATGTGAGTGGGTCTGTGTCCGGCGAGGTGGAAGAAGAAGGGCATTGCCCCTTTAAGGACTCTTTCCAACAGGGGGGAGAGAAAGAGGAAAGCTTACAGGGAAGGGCACAATGCACTTGGGGTGAGGTCAAAGTCACTGCATTGCCCTTCCTGCTCACTGGAAGAGTGGAAGGGGTATTTACACCCCATAGAGCCACGGAGATGCCCTCTTTACCAGGATTGGGCTGGAAGAATCCCTTCTGGGAGCTGAGTAAGGAGGGTTGGGGGCTCCTCCATCTCATCAGCGGGGAGCTGACCTCCCTTCCTTTTCCTGACCTCCTTTAAGGGAGCTGGGGTGGGGGGTTGGGGCTCCTACGTCTGGATCAGCAGGGATATGACCCCTTCCTCCCTGCACTCTACAACTTGTTGCCTGGTACTCCCAGATATTATAAGTGAATAAAGATGCAACCTAATTAAACCACATCCATGGCCTTCTGTCTTCCAGCATGGACAAATACTGCACGTTTCAACTCATGTGATATGAACAAGAAGAATCTCTTGCAGAGCTAGAACAAACTGGTTTCTAACGGGGTGACTTGCCCCATGGGCCAGAGAGTCTGGGGCTAAGCTAACCCTGATTACAGGATGAGCCCCACCTGAGTGGAATCAGGTAATTCCCTATAAAGGGCAGCAAGTGGCTGTAGTGAAGGGGAGATGCTCAGAGAGTACAGAGGCTGCTAGGGGTTTGCTGGCTTGAGCAAGGCCTGGGATTTGAGAATAAGACTTCAGGCAGAAAGGGCTGTGAGTGGCCTGCTAAGGCAGGCGACTCTGGGCAAGCAAGGAAAGAGTACAAAATCTCTCCAGACAAGGAAGCCTCAAAGTAGGAAGAGAAATGTTTGGCTGGGGGACGTAATAATAACTAATCGAGTTATTTTCTGTGAATAAACCGAGTTTCCAAGCAGGGGTATTTTTGACCTCAGAAAAATGTGTGGAGTCTGTCTAAGGAGCTATTTGAGGGAGAAATTATAAGCCATGCACTGCAGAGGCACTCCTGGCCATGAAGAGGCCCTCAGTAAGCAGTCACATCACTACATGGTCTCTAAAAACTCTGGGCTGCTAGCGACACACAGATTTCCTTAAATCCTAAGATTGATTCTGACAGTGTAAATCTGTTATAAGGCCACATGGAACAGCTACCATCTCAATGGGAGCAAAGAAGGCACTAGGCTAGTGCTGCCAATAGCTATTCCAAAACTGGGGTTGGATGAACAACTCCTCTCTGCATTCCAACTCCATCCTGGGCTCCCAGAGGAATTCTGGCTGAGCTGGCCAAAACCTTTCTACTAGGGGTTTCTGCTGTTCCTCCTCATACCCCATACTCATAGCCACAATATGTCCCATCATGAATAGTGCAGAAATTCAAACATTTTTCTAGTTGTCATTTTCTTGTCCTGCCAAAACAAAGAGCATAGAAACTATATACTATGCAAAGCAGGAAGAGGAATTGATAGCCGTAGTAGGTCAAGCTATAGTACTGTTCTCTTTGTAAGCTCCATGGTACCTTAGATATTCAGTGGCTAAATGAACAGTGCACTCCCATTGATTCTGGAGATCAGAAATAGTCTGCTGAATGGCCGGGTCCTTCACTCCTTCAATACTTGTTAAGATTTTGCCCAAGGCTATGATGTTTTGCATTTTAGCATCTCCCTTATCTTTGAGAAAAACTATTTCCTGCATTAAACAAAAGAGCAGAAGCAGAACATGTAACATACTTTATTCATTTACTTGTAGTTATTCTAACAAAGGGTATCACCTGCAAAATGTTTTATTCTTTGTCTACTGCTGTTGAACAAAAACAATTATCACTTCTATGTCCTACATAATTGATATTAATAATTGGATGGATAATCCAGTTTAAATGTTAGCATTCCAAAATGTACCTCAGATTTTTTAACACACACATTCCCTAATACTTCTATAGACCAGTAGTTTTCAACCAGGAGTTTGCATACCCCTCGGGATACGCAGAGGTCTTCCAGGGGGTACATCAACTCAGGTAGATATTTGTGTAGTTTTTCAATAGGCTACATAAAAAGCATCAGCAACGTCAGTACAAATTAAAATTTCATATAGACAATGACTTGTTGATGCTGCTCTATATACTACACACTAATATGTAAGTACAATATTTATATTCCAATTGATTTATTTTATAATTGTGTGGCAAAAATGAGAAATTAAGCAATTTTTCAGTAATAGTGAGCTGTGACACACTTGTATTTTTATGTCTGATTTTGTAAGCAAGTAGTTCTTAAGTGAGGTATAACTTGGGGGACCACAAGACAAATCAGACTCCTGAAAGGCATACAGTAGTCTGGAAAGGTTGAGAACCACTGCTATAGAAGAACAAAACACCAATATCATTCTGATAAAATAAAGCAAAAATTTGCTTCAGATACTATGAGTGAGAGCCTAACACCCACTGCAACCCCTTTAAGCTGCGTATAAAGGCCAAAGCACCATAAAGACCCATTTCTAGCTGGGGAAGGATTCTCCCACCCCAGGCACTGCAGAAGATAACGGTAAGGCTTACCCTATGAGGACCCTCTTACAAACCTCAGCATAGGGGGCTGGTGGATAGGTGGGGTGTGTCAGAGGTGAGCCAACAGAACACAGCACTGCCAATATTCCAGGCAGCACTGAAGCCCACAAGGCAACCGTGGGGAGGTTGCTATAATTTACACAGGCCCTGGGCTGTCAAATTTATGCTGGGGATCTTTCCAGCATCTGCAACAGTCAGGATTGGGAGGGCACAAAGCCACAGTAGCCCTCCCTTCCCCTTAGGCTGAGAGTTCTGTGCTGCCCAACTGCGTTTAATTAACCACACAACCATATGCTTAGTTGTACACTGTAATCATCAATGACATATGGTGGGTCTAATGAGATTATTACACACCATACATTTCCCGTATATTACCCTCAACTGGTAAAATCAGAGTAGCAAGTGTGCTGCAGTACCTTTATTTGATGTATCCTTTCTCTCAGTGGCAACTTGCCTTCCCGTGAACTCAAGCCAATAACTGAGTCTTTAAGTCTTTTTATCCAAGAAGACATGTTCTGTGCAAGCGCTTCAAAATTCTGCCTTTCCATGGACCGTGTCTGACTAATTCCCAGTGCTTCACTTATGTGTGTCTGTAGTTCCTGATACCGACTAATGAGATGACTGGATTCGGACACTGTTTCATCTCTTGTAAACCCAGACTCCCTCAAAGAATTTGCCAGCTGAGACAGGGAGTCAAATGAGTCTCTGAAAAATACAACAAATGAATCACAGTGTTTCTGCTATAACATAGAGGAGTCAAGAAAGATACAAACTATCCCCCTTCCCCAAGACAAGGCTACCTCTGCTTTATTAGCATTTGGTAAAAGTTTTCTAATTTTATCTTCTCATTTTTGGTCTCTGGCAATTTTTCTTCCTGAATGGTGAGCCATTCCTTCAAGCCACTGCTGTCTTCTTGAAGTCTAAAGAAACAACATACACAAAAATGTATATGTTGGTAAGTAAGAAGTATTATATCTGTAATTACTAAAAAACATTGACAATAACATTTCACTGTAACAGATATGAAATGATCTGGGCCGTGATTTAGCAAGGTATTTATGCACATACGTAACTAAGCATGTGAGTAGCCCCACTGATTTCAACTGAACCATTGACAAGTTTTAAGCACATGCTCAAATATGTTGCTGAATCGGGGTCCTCATGATCTCTTTATTGTTAAGAAAACTGAAGAAGTGAAACAAAACAGAAGAAAACAGCAGATTCCTCAGTATATGATTTATAATAAAAATCAGAGTTATTTATTCTTCATTATGGTTGTTTAAGAATATCACTTTATATCATCTATAAGTAAGCTGCTGGGAATTAATTTTAGCTCCCTACCTAATGAGTTGCTGCAGAGAAGCACGAAGTTTCTTTTCTTGTTTCTGACATTTGGAGGTTACGCTTTGTAATTCTGCTTCTTGATCTCTCACCCAGCTACTAAGCTGGTTAACACTTGCTTCGGGCAAATAACTCTTCACCTTAGTCAAGAGAGATTTTACTTCTTGGATGTCACTCTCTTTGCCTTCAAAAGTTAGGAAACTCTTAATAAAAGCACAAACATGACAAATTAGAGATGCATTTAGCAAGTTTGCTGCTATATAACAGATATTTATATTCTATATAAACTTCTTAATTTGTGTTATCACTATAGGCTTTTTAAAAAAATCATTAGTGTCTCTTGCAAGGTATATTTACAGTGTTCTATTCATTTAAAACCCACCTAAGTGCAAATGGAAAAACTCCCTTGAAATATAAGGGGAAAGTAAAGAAGAAGAGAGGACAAAGATTCTCTTCTGGGGTAAAGTACACAAAGCAGAAGAATGAACCAAGCATCCACAACTTTCATATTCAGATCTCTCATTAAGACTCACTTCTAGGGTAACCAGACATCCCGATAAAATCAGGACCGTCCCGATATTTAGGTGTTTGTCCCGCGTCCCGACCAAAGATCGATCGGGATGCTGCACTCCGCCCCCCCCCCCCCCCCGACTGCCGGCAGCACTCAGCTGTTCTCGGTTGGCTTTTTCCCCCCTCTCCTGAAAACCAGAGGCTCCCCCACTGTAAACTGATCCACACATTGCTACCAGTCTGGACCCAGATAGACTTGCATGTCAGAATGCAGAGTGAAAGGAAAAGTTACAGCGGTTGTTACTTCTCTGCTCTGTCATTATGGTGATGAGCATGGTGTAAATACCTAGACGCTGAAGGTATGCATAGCTAAGGGAGGGTGCATAATCTCCTCTGACTGCCCGCAGCGCTCGGCTGTTCTCGGCTTCTTTCCCCCCCCCGCCGGCAACACTGGGCCACAGTAGGGAATTGGGAGAGGGAGCTGTTTGTGTCGTTACAATCAGTCTGACAGAAGAAAGGGAAGAGAGGGCAGGAAGGAAAAGGTTGAGGGCAAACAAGAATATCAACACTGATGGACTGGAAATCATGGAGAGGCTAAGTAACAAAGAATGGGTGTGTGATGGGCAATGCTGAAGGAGACCAGATGATGGTCAGGGAGTGGGAACGGAGCAATAGAGAGATCAGAGAGAGACCGGTGTGTGGTGAAGATCAAGTCAAGTGAACGGTCCTTTTGGTGAAAGGGAGAGTTGAACCAAAGCTGCAGGATGAAGGAAGACATGAAGGTGAGGAAACATGCAGCTAAGGGGTCAGATGGGTCATCAATGGTGAACATGACATCATCGAGGATGAGTGTGGGAGATTGTGAGGAGAGGAAGAGAGGGAGCCAGGAGTAAATCAGAGAGGAAAGGCTGATGGGAATGAGTATGCCTAGGGCTCCTAGGTGGCTACAGTAATATACAGATTAATAATAATACTAAGGGTGAAATACTGGCTCCACTGAAGTCCATAGGGTTTTGGTATTGACTTCAATAGGGTCAGGATCACCTTAGTCTCTAAGGCCCTGATTCAGCATAACGCTTAAGCACTTCCTTAAGTCCCAATGACTTCAATTTAGTACCTTCTAGCATCTGAACTTTCCTAACTATAGGTTAGAACTTTATCTCAAATGTACACTTCTTAACACAATTTTATTACCCCTTCCACTGACTGCCACACTGCGTTGTGTTTTTTAAAACAAACATTCTTCAAACTCAAGAAAGCCTGAATTTACAAACTACAATAGGTGAATCTACTCCAAAGTACAGAGTCCCTTGCTAACTTGGGAGGGTGCAACCTCCTTCCAAAATATTTTGTATTTTAAAATATTCTAATATCTTACCATGAGCGTCTGCAATTTTTCTTCCAATGTCTGTTTAGTTTCTGACGGGTCAAAACAATCCTTTAAAGACAGCTGAGCGCTGCTGAACCAGTCATTAAAATCCTTACACTGATCTGCGGAAAGATAGAGTCTGACTTTTTTTTTCTTATCCAGTAACAGAAAATCTCTACTCAACATGAAGATTTCAGTTAATCTCCTAATAATTATATTTATCAATGCTATCCCTGGATGCTGCCTCTCACTACATGCAAAATGACAGAAAATGCTGCAGTCCTTACTTCTTTCTTTTGGAACCCATCCTTGTACTGACAGTGAAAATGACATGCTGGAGGACCCAGCTCAGAGGCCTGTTTGTGACATTTTCAGAAAACGTTGCCTGGGATAATCTATCATCAAACATTCTGATTTACTGTTGCTACTCTGGCCTCTATCACAAATAAATACTATTCAGCAATTGCTATTCCCAGTGACTGCAGGCTGATATTCTCTTTGGGTGAAATTCTCTGTGGGCATAGATACCCATCGTCCTGTGTTTGGCAACTAGAATATGTCACCTAGAACTGAAAATACACACTTATGAATAGGCCACATCAAGAAGCTAAGCACTGTTCACACATGCATTGCGGCAGCGAAGTTCTGGTAATCTTTCCTATTGCCAGATCTCAAATGCTGATCTGAAAGGATGGAATCTTTAAGGAGTTCCTCAGACACTATGGAACACAAAGACCTGCCATGATTCACTACACAGCCTTTATTCTAACAGAATTTCCATTTAATCCATTTAATCCAATAGGAATTTTGTGCAAATAAAGACTGCGGGACAGGGCCCACAGCTCAGAAAGAATGTGGAGCCTGAGGGTCAGATCCTGAGCTGGTGTAAGGAGACATGGTTCCATTGCATCAAATGGAACTATTCCATCTTATGCCAATTGAGGATCTAGCCCTCAGTTTTTACTGAGTTATAACATTCAAGTACTTGCTCGACACAGACATGTATGTCAGTCTTTAAAAGTGAAACCCATTTTTGCTTACAGTTCAAAAGACTGATAAAATGATCCTGGAAAATGTGTTTCTTTGTATTAAATAAATCAGTGATACACTGAAGCTGCTTCTTTAATTCAGCCACTTCTGGAGTCAGACAACCTGTCTTTTTTTGGAGTAATTTCACATGGTGTTTTTGTTGGAGAATTTTCTGATGTAGCTCCTAAATTAAAAAAATTAACAAATTAAAAAGGAAGAGAGTTAGTGATATATTAAAAGGCATCTAACGTTAAGGAGAAGGTTTCAGCATGCACTGTACAAAGCTGTTTTGCGACAAATTAAATTGTTTTAAGAAGGTGTCATTTCAAAATATGTCAAGATATATTAACATTATTTATGCAACAAATGAACAGGGATAAATACTAAGCGGTGAGCAGGCGTTATTACACACACACACACACACATACACTTCTGCATCACACACAACAGATAGGTGGAGGTAATAGCAATATAACAAACTGCAGGTCCATAAATAAATAGCATTTATCATGCACCTTTGTCTCACCTGCATTATGCCCACTAATCCCTCTCACAGGGACTTATTCTAACATTTCAAACCACTGAGCAGCCACAGGGTTGTTGGTTTTTTTAAATAAACGTTCTTCTGCCAAATAAATTTTTACTTCTCTCCTAAACATGGAATTTGATATCTCTAGACCCTGCAAGGCTAGATGCAGGAGGCCAGATCCTTAGCCCTGCTTTGTCCCTTCTGGAGGTGCAAACGGGGTAGCAAGTTGGCTTAAATAGCCAAGTGGGAATTCCCTTGCATAGAGGAATGCCCCCATGGCATAAAGTCAGCATAGTTGGCTCTGTATCACCAGCTCCTAGCAAACGATACAGCTCTACAATATAGCCCAACATCCTGATGTGACCTAGCCCAATATATGCACTGGGAATTTAATACCTTTTGGGGTGGTGCGTGGTTACCAAGCCCAACACAAACTACTATTTCAGGTAGCTAAAATGTATAATTAGCTAGCTATAGTAATACTCAAAGAAAGCAGGCCTTTCCTTCTTCTGGGTAACTTTGGGAAATACTGGGAGTCAAGCTAAATTCTTTACTTCATTGTTCTACCAGCTTCAACCGTTTTAAAATACATGACAGAAACACATATGAAGAGCTGCCCGTGAAAGAAAAGGTTATCAAAATTACAGGAGATGCATAATTTGATATACAGTACCTCTAGTTTCGTAAAGATCTCTAAAGTGTCAGAGGGAAATAAAGCTTTTAAAAGTGATTCTGTCATCCCAATCTGTGTCTTGGCAAGGTCAAGGTCCCCTTTTAGCTCTGCTGAATTGCCATTGAGTTCACTGGGTCTCATCTTATTCGGTAAGTGCTTTCTTATTAGCTCCATTTTGTTCTCAACAGATGACTTGATGACCTTAAAATTGGAAATGCACAAGCAGCATAAGAAGTTTTACTGGACTAGTTTCCTACAAAATGGGGCTCAAAAGAGTTTATTCCTTTTTATACCTAACCTTTCTACATTAATTGCATTTTCCTCCATTCTAAACTACTGTACTTTCTTTTTTTTCTTATCTCTGATATTTAAGAAAAAAAATCTAATCCTACACTGAGTGTTGCTACTGCTTTAAATGAGTAAAGTTTATTCTTCTGACTACATGAATACTCTCAGCTGAACACGGGCACTAGTCTCTCCACTTCTAGGAACAACAAGAAGCCAAACTTCTCTGATCCATACACTGACATTCTGCCCTGTCCCAGGGATCCTGTAGAAGCATTGCCACCAGAGCGCTACATGGCTCCACTGCAGGCTTCCAAGGACACAGCAAGGAGGGGGTGGAGACAAAAGGGAGCAGAACAAGTCCCCATCAGCTTACAAGGCAACAGGATCACTCCATGGCATTCACAGCTGTTCTAGGCCCACAGAAATTGCCCCACAGAGTGGCTTACAATGGTCATGTCCTCACCCCAAAACACCATCCTTGAGAGCTTAGGCACACAAGAAGTTGAGTCTGAATTGCACAGGGGTTGTAAACCCCCTAGATAAACTCGCCACACTGATTCTGCTCATTTTTGGAAATTTGTGCCCATATGGGGAGAAGGCTTTGTCCTTAACCTAGGGAATTAATGCACCAATGCAAAAACATTTATATTCACTTACTACAGAACCTACAAGAAAAGAACACAGTAAATACAATAGACATGTTAAAAGTCCATTGTAAAGTAGCTTGTTGCCTGCCTGGAGTTCCCCTTGGTGCAAAGTGGCTCTGCAATGCCCTCTACTTGGAGCAGTGGCTAAGGGCCTGGTTCTCCTCCCCTGGAAATCAATAGGCATCCATCCATTAGCTATAAAGGAAGTTGGATCAGGCCCTAAATCAGGGGTGGGCAAACTTTTTGGCCCAAGAGCCACATCTGGGTGGGGAAATTGTATGCAGGGCCATGAATGTAGGGCTGGGGCAGGGTTGGAGGGGTGTGGGGTATGTGGGGGGGGGGGCCTCAGGACAAGGGGTTGATGTGCAGGAGGGGGCTCAGGGCAGGGGGTTGGGGTGCAGCAGGGGGTTCAGGGTAGGGAGTTGGGAGCTCTGGGCAGGGGGTTGGGGTGCAGGGGGGTTGCAGGGTACGGCAGGGGGCTCAAGGCAGGGGGTTGGGGTGCAGGAGGGGCATGGGGTACAGCAGGGGGCTCAAGGCAGGGGGTTGGGGTGCAGGAGAGGTGCGGGGTGCAGGAGGGGGCTCAGGGCAGGGGGTTGGGGGCTCAGGGGGTTCAGGGCAGGGAGTTGGGGTGCAGGAGGGGGTGCGGAGTGTGGGAGGGGGCTGAGGGCAGGGGGTTGGGGTGCAGGAGGGGTGTGGGGTATGGCAGGGGGCTCAGGGCAGGGGGTTGGGGTGCAAGAGGGGTGCGGGGTGCAGGAGGGGGCTCAGGGCAGGGGGTTGGGGTGCAGGAGGGGTTCAGGGTGCAGGCTCCGGCCCAGCGCCACTTACCTCAAGCGGCTCCGGGGTGGCAGCAGTGCGCAGTGCAGCTAAGGCAGGCTCCCTGCCTGCCCTGGCCCCGCACCGCTCCTGGAAGTGGCCAGCATGTCCGGCAGTGGCTCCTGTGCGTGGGGTGGTGCAAGCGGCTCTGCCACGCGCTGCCCTCATCTGTGGGTAACACCCCCGAAGCTCCCATTGGCTGCGGTTCCCCATTCCCAGCCTATGGGAGCTGCGAGGGGCAGTGCCTGCAAGCAAGGGCAATGCACGGAGCCCTCTGCCCCTCCCCCCCCAGGGGCCACAGGGACATGGTGCCGCGGGGCCAGGGCAGGCAGGGAGCCTGCCTTAGCCCCACTGCACCATGGGACTGGCAATCCCACGGGCTGGATTGAAAGCCCTGACAGGCTGGATCTGGCCCGCAGCCCTCCCCTGCCCTAAATGCCACAGTTTGATCCCAGGACAGCAGAGGACAGACTGAGCCCTTAATGTTTAAAAATACTGGTTTGGTTCAGACAATTTACTTGAAAAAAGGGGCAAATTAAATGTTGATCCTCATATCCAACAGAAATATCTCCCTTGCCCCGCGGTCAAGGCAAACCAAAAGTAATGATTGTGGTGAACAGGGCACTAGTGGCTAGATTACAATTATCAAAAATGCTATCATGTTAACCATGTAAGTCACCCCTTACCTGTAACTCCAATGGAGGCTCACTGTTATGAAGAAGATGCTCTATCTCAGCCACTTTTCGGTCAAATTCCTCTAAGCTTTGCTCTTGGACCTGTAAAGAAGTCTAAAGGGGCGGGGGGGGAACACCAATATACCCGTAACTACATAATTTTCTGTCAAATTTAATTTCCATTTTCCTACTAGAGTACAATGATGATATTACTAATTCATTGAGCCTGTGCGCTAAATTCCCTTTCAGATTTCCATGGGAGTTGTGTGTGAAATGATTTCAGGACCAGTCACAAATACAATGTAATTACTTAGAATTTTTTGTACCAGCAGTAAGAAAATCTAGCCCAGGAGTTAAAAATAACCATCTAGTGCAAATGAAAAACCTAAATTATTATTTTATTTTTTCCATAGCACAGTTGCTATTGTAGAAAAATAGTCTTCATTGTGTACTTAATTCTTGATTGTCAAGTCAAAACATACTCTAAAATACTCTCTGAAGACACAGACTAAATCAAGAATTATTACAATCCTGATTATATTTTAAGGGTAATTCCTTAGGTTGATTTGATGATTTCATAATGCTATCTGCATCTATGCGGATTGGCAGGTATATAATAGCCCAATCCAACACCTACTGAAGGCTTGGGCATTGGATCAGTCTATCAAAATTTGATTGTCCAAGTTAAAATACCCTGGGTGAGCTTCAACTTCTGAAACAGGCACTATGAGAAACATTCTACATGTCACATTCATGAATCCATGTGCCTCGTTCACTCAGGGCAAAATATTCCTTTTTATTCTCCTTTTCTACCTACTTAGCGAGTGACTCATTTCTGTCCACTCACCCGTGCCAGTTTGCACAAAGAGGAGTTTCCAGTTTCATGCCAACAACATAAAGAGCACAAGAAAGTTGAGCAATTTCTTTCACATAATTTATATGGAAACCATCTTTTAAATGGGCTGTAAAATACTTCACAATCTAGTTCCTGTCATGCTAAACTTTTTGGAAACATATAGACTTAAATGAGCTGTACTTAACTGCATTGCTATAATGGAGCTGTGATTAAGGATGATGGTTAATATTACATACTAAATATGTTGCAACAATTTTATTGCACAAACATTCACATAGAGATCTTTCATGGTAAAGGAAAAAATGGATAACTGGCCGAGATTCCCTGGGAACTTATACAAATCTTACACTTAATATAACTACACCAGATCAGTTTTCCTTCCTTGCCTGATCTCTTTTGCACTGCTGAAGCGATGCATGGGTGATGGAAACTGATTTTATCTCCCCTGCTGAGGGTTTTTCCTCACATAAGGGAATCCAGAGCTGGTATGAACTCGGCATAGTTCCTACACCAACCACCCCAACCCTAGTAAAGGAGGCATGCCAGCGGTGTGGCCATAGCATGCGGTGTGGCCATAGCATGCAGTGTGGCCATAGCATACTGTGCTTCAACAGTTTCTAGGTGACAAAATGGCTCTTAGGGGACAGATGCCAGCTGGTGTACTTTAGAGCAGCTCTGAGGTATTCCAAGATAAACAATAAAAATATGAAAATAGCAATAAATAGTGTGATGTTTCACTCCATATTCTTTATGAAAATATGCTTATGATATGAATATGATATAACTGAGATGTACTTTATGCAAGATGGGTCTTGTAAGGTATCATTGGAAAGGTTATGATTTACTGAATGGGATTATCCAATCCATATATCTGTATCATTTCTGTATCTGAAGTTAGGAATATTGACTATGTATCTGTATTTCAACTATGCTACTTTGGGTGACGCCCACTGCGAACACTTCAGGTACAACAATGGAAAAGCCAGACAGGGCTCATGGCCCATCAGTGAGGACAATGGACTGTGAAAAGGTTGGCCTTCCTGTGGACGCTCTATACTGCCACTGACTCATGGATGCTGTGATACTACAGAGTCAGGTGGTCTTGTCACCTGATACTAAACCTTACCTGGGACTTCTTGTAACTTTCCACTAGAAGGGAAGGGGGGGGGTCCAAGTCTGGGAAACAAAGGATTCCCGCCTTATGTAAATCCTATTTAAGGGTGGGGAGGAAGGCAAATGGGGCTCCTCCTCTCCATGGCTGTCTGCCCAAGAAGAAAGACTGCAAAAGCCACCTGAAGGGAAGGCAAGTGGGGAGTCCAGACTAAGACAGAGGTCCAGTCTGAAAAGGAATATAACTGGAACTCTGAACCACAGAAACTTTGCAACCTGTCTGCAACAATATCTAGGTTGAAAAATACTATTTGTAACCAATTTCTTTAGTGAAACTAGCTTAGTTTGCATGTTTGATTTCATTTGGTCAGTAATCTGCTTTGTTCTGTTTGTTACCCCTTTTACTACTTAAAATCTGCCTTTTATAGTTAATAAAGTTTGCTTTGTTTATTATTAAACCCATTTCTGTAATTTCTAACTGGGGGTGTGTGGGGAGGGAAGTTGTGCATACCTTCCTCCACATTGAGGGAGGAGGCGGATTTCATAATATATCTTTGGGTCTGCACTCCAAGGGAGGTGGACACCTGAGTGCTAGAGCAAGTCCCTTAAGCTGAGCCTTCCCAGAACTGATCTCAGTGTCTGTTTCGTTTTGCAGCTGGGGGTAGCGCAGTCTGTGTGTTGGAACAGGCTTGATAGCCTGACTCAGCAAGACAGGTAAAAAGGGTGCCCAAACTGGCATAACAGGCGGGCTCAGTGGTATCTCAGCACATCAGGTTGCATCTCAAGGGGTCCAACCCATCACACATAGATTTAAATACAGCCATATACAGATATACACATATATATGTACACACACACACGCACGCACGTACGCACACACACTTTCATACCCTTATCCCTGTTTCTCTGACAGGTTCTATGTTTGGAGCACATTGTGGGTGCTCTTACACTATACATACTCATGCACTCAGGGCTTGTCTACACAAACATTTAGTTCTTGGCAAGCTGGGGTGTCTATCTACCCTGTACTAACCTGCTGCAAACTAACTGTCCCTGTGAACCCTGCTGACTTCCATTATTTGATTTAGTCCCATTTCAAAGAGGACTAAATCAAAGTGCATTAACGAACCATTACGTTTCCAAGATCTGCATCCTAGTGAGGTACACAATTAATTCAGTGAAATTGCAGAGAAAATTACAAATTTCGAGACTTTCTCTGTGTATCACTGATATTTATAACCAATATGTACCTTTATATCCTACAAATCCTTAACATGTTGGAATGCGTTTGTTGTATTTAATTGACTAACATTAACTCAGCCAAATTACCTTCAATTGTGTCACCTCCTCTTCAGTCAGCTGATGTTCTTCTATGCTCCTAAGTTGTGTATTTGCCCATGTGTCAGTCTTGCTGAATAAATTAAGAAGTTTGTCCCACAAAGCCAGAGCTCTTCCCAAATTATCACAATAGTTTTCAGTTTTTTCATTGATCTACCACAAGATTTATAATAAAAAACAAATTTTAGAAAACAAAGTAAGATTCTTAGCAGAAAGGCAATATGATAAAGACTAGATGAGATGGAACCACACAAACAACAAGGGAAGTAGGTGCACAAAAATCTCATATGTCTTCATTGTGCACTGGTCACACAGAAGACATTTCAATCTCTTACTAAATATGGCTTTCAGCAACATCACATCAACCACAATGGCTTGTCTCCAGTTTAAAAACAGGTTTAGCAGCATCACTTGCTAATCGAATTTTATCTACTCTCAATAAGTACCATTTTATCTCAGCATCAATGCACTACTTAGACTGACACTTTCGAACATTTCAATTTCTTACCAGTTGCATAGGCACAGTAATCTTCCATATTGTTTCCAAAGTCTAAACCAACAGAAGTTGCCATAAAAGCTTAAAAATCCAACCAGCAAAAGCAAATATTGCCTTTTTGTATGCCCCAGAATTGTCCATTGTAGGAGTGTGCCCATGACATATATAGCCTTATATATCACAAACAGGGAGGTTGAAGACATAGTCTAAGCTTTGCTTTGATAAACACTTGACTTTATCTCTTAAGAGTCTTTGACATTCTGCATTTAATTTATTCTAAATATTACGCACAAGTCAGAATCAATTACTATAATGCATAACAGATAAGACCTCCCTGATAATTTACTTTTTACATACATCCAGCCATCTGTCCACAATAATGTCAGCCTCATTCTGAAAGGGAGGCTCCTCGAAGCTTCTCATTTTATTGATCTGGAAGTGGAGGTTTTTGCAGATCTGATTTATTTTGTCTACATCTTCAGAGCGATCATTAAATTCTTCTTTAACCGCTTCAATCTGTGAAAAAGAAAGAATGTATATTTGAAAGCATGTGTCCTGCATTTGGTCAAAACTCTTGTTTATCCACCAAATCTTTTGTTTGTTTGTTTTGTTAACTATCATGCTGTTTTTTTCAATTTAGAAACACAGCAGCATGACCCAAAATAATCCATTTTATCTAATACGGTGAGACTAAGAATCCATCCTCTGTCATTATATCCCAGTGTCTGTACTACTGATCTGAACATTCCACTTGTCACTCTAACTATATCATGATACAGACTGTAAATTGCTAAATGAGGAATAGGAATATTGGTTTACAAATAAGTTTCTGGCTTATGAGACCCAAACAATTTGCCTCAAACAAATTAATATCCACAGACATCAAAAGTGAATTACATCCATATACTGTTTCAGATGCCGAATGAAACAATATCTGTATAAAAATAATCTGATTCACACCAAGCTCTGAGAGATATAATTTGTGATTCTGATTCTCAGTTTTATCACTGCGTGTTCCTAAAAATAGGACTTGCCAAAATAAATTCACATTGGTTTAAATAGCATACTGCCATTCATTTAACTTTTTATTTAAATCCTAAAACAGTTTGTTAGTGTACGAATATATCAGTGCATATTTATAAACAATATTTAAAAATAAAGGAAATGAAATACTGACCTCTAGTGTTTGGCAATTTGACATTAATGGATCTATCTTTTTTCTCCAGACAATGTTCTCTTAGGGTATGTCTACACTGCAATGTAATCCCATGGTTTGAACTCAGGCTCAAACCTAACCCCGCCCCCTTCCATTTACATACAAGGCTCGGACCCAGGACCCCACGAGAGGTTCCGAGCCTGAGTCAAGCTAGATCCCAGAGTTCAAGCCCTATTGCTCTGCAATGTAGGTGCAGTCTCATGCTCTGGGAGTCTGCCAAAAGAATCCCATAGGCCAACTTTCTTTGTCCAATTTGGGGGACAGTCCAGTTTTCCCACACTGCACCACAAACAAAGAGCTAGAGCGGCCAAATTTGGGTGGATGCTAGGAAGTCTGGGATATGGGTGGTTGGACTCAGGCCCACATAATGCAATGTACATGAGAGCCCCAGGGTTCAACAATTCCTAACCTGAGGTTACAATGAGTAAAGACACTCAAGCCCTAGGTTAACAAACTCAGGGTCCAATAACTCGAGTTCTACTAACCCTGGGCTTACATTGCAGTGTAGACATATTAAAGACGCAGCCAGCCACTGAGAAAGAGGGAAGGTCTTGCAGCTCAGAATGAGAACAGAGCTTCTGTCCTACTATTTGATGGGAAAGTAACTGTAACAGCGCACTGGTACTTGAGTGCATACCCATGTCCTGGTGCATCTGTTACAGGCTCCAGCCCTTTAAAGCTGGAAGTTGTAGTCATAGAGCACATGATTATGAACAAGCATGTGACCTAGAGAAAACCAGACAGAAGGCTCGCCGCCTAGGCCTGGTGGATGGTCTGGTAGAGACTGGGGATCAGGCAAATCCCAGTGTGGGGTTGCTATGCAGTAGCAAGCCAGAGGGCTGAAAGATTACAGACCCCAGAGAGGGCTGTAAGAACTTGCTCCGAGAAGAGAGAAAGAACTAATCCAGAAGGGGTATAGAGGATGGAGTGCCTGAACCCCCTGCTGCCCACGGGGAGGAACTGCTTGTATTTATCGCATGAGTGTAATAAATCAGACCCCCCCAAGAGATGGGATGTTACCTGAACTACATAGGTTTGTGTGCCTAACAGGGGAAACTAAAGCACCGGACATGTGACCCAGTGGAGAAAGGTAATTCTAGTATAGAAACAATAGCACCGTGAAAATGTGAATTATTTGAGAGATTCTGAGGTTCGATGTCCCCTTAATCCTTTATCCAGTTACACCTATGAAGTCTCTGTAGGCAAAAAGTGTGGTCCTATAGACCAAGCAGTAGGCAGGGATTCAGGAGACCTGGGTTCTATTCCCAGCTCTACCACTGGCCTGCTGGGTGACTTTGAGCAAATCACTTCACTGCTCTGTGCCTCAGTTTCCCCATGTGTAAAATGGGGATAACGATGCTGACCTCCTTTGTAAAGCACTTAGAGATCTACTGATGAAAAGTGCTGCATAAGAGTTAGGCATTATTATTGCTCTATGCATGCAGTTAACATTTATGGTGCTGAAAGGCATGCACTGGCATTCAAAAAAGATATTTTTCAAAGTCTGTTGAACACCACAAGGACCACTTGGGAGTGACCACTTACTCCTCTAAATCAGTCATAATCTTTGCAATGGTATCAGCTGATGCATACATTACTGTGAACACTTAACAGTTAGCAGACACCATATGTAATAGATGATGGCTCCTGAGACTGAAGTTCTCATAGATGGGGTTTATCCTCCATACTGCGTGTGAGCCAGCAGGAGAAAGGGGAGAAATATGAAATCCTGGGTTCTGTTAGTGCAAATGCCCTCCTCACCCCCACAATCAAATCTGGAGATGGCTGCAAGGACACCTTCCTCAGCTCCTGCCTCAGCAGCAACTTCAAAGTGCTGCCCAAACAGCTATTTTTAGAGCACTAACCCAAGCTGAGAGGCTTGCTCCCGCGAGCTGTGTAGACACACCCTTAGAGGTACAGCCCAAAATCTCACCCAAGATGTTCCAGGTATTCCTCTGAGCAAGGAAAGAAAACGATTCTCTGAGAGATATGCAAGGGTTGTAATTTTGATCTTCTGTTAGAGAACAGCCACACCAGAAACTTCTCTGAAGCAAGAAGCCCAAAATTATTACATTTAATATTATGTTCATTGTATGTTGTCTACTGTGCTAAAAAGGGTTTGTCTTTATATAGCTCATCTATTTAAAATGTCCTCTTAGTAAATAACTAAGCTTGCTTTGCTTGTGTATTTAGAAATTGTGCAATAAAAGCCTCTAATATCTAAAAATGGTGGAAAGTTGGGAGGATATTTTAAAATAGCATAGCTGAAATACCATTGACATCACTGGGAGTTTTGTTATTGTCTTCAATGTGGTCAGTATTTCACCCTCTCTCTTTATTACATTTTTATTTAAAAAAAACAACCCCTCACACTTTTAAAGTGAGCTTAGTTTACTGTGCAAAGATAGAAATGGGCCTAAAGCAAAAACCTGGTTCTGAACACCCACATACTCTGAAATAGCTTGGAGCCGAAACCAGAGCCAAGTCTCAACTTTGCAGCTCGATCCTACATCTATAATGGGCTGAACAACAGCCCACATCTGAACTCCCTCAAATTTTGGGAGGATCAGATCTGGATTTAAACTTTCCAGCTATGCCCTTTACCTCTACAGAACTCACCTTTGCTATCATCCTCTGCAGATTGTCTTTCCCCATGTAAGAAGTCTGCTGTGAGAGGACACTCTCTTGTTTCTGGATCATGCTTGTCAGACTATTTTTGCAGCTTTGATACTGCTTCAGGAGCTCCAACACCCTCACACACTGCTCCTGGCTATTAAAAAGCAGAATTATTTACTATACATGTATAAAGGAACAGCTTCAACCCCTCCTCTCTTCCACACGTAAAAGTGACATAATATTAATAACTTACATTTATATTGCACCTTTCATTCTGAAGTATCATTTCACCCACCAGTGGGATGAAACCCAACAGCTATTCAATCACATACAGCAAAATTTCACCACAGTTTAGGGCAAGTAATTAAAAATATCACCTCCAACTGAAATTGTAGGAGGAACTCAGTACACAAAATGTAATTACGCAAACTGAAATTTGAGCAGGCCATTGCAATTAATTTACAGTAACTGCCACAGGACCTTTAGGGTGGCATTTTCAAAGCTGCCTTGTAGATTTGGATGTGGCATCTAAATCCTATAGGCAGCTTTGAAATACCACCCTTACTGTTTAGGATCTCAGTCTGGTATCTCATCTAAATGTTCAGACCTTCTGTGGTGCAATGCCCCTTTCCTCATACTGGAGCACTAGTTAAATAGAGACTTAGAGGGAAGTGTCATCTCTTGACTCACCATCACTTCCATCAAGAGCTAGGTGTTTCTTAAGAGTTCCCTCATCCAAGTACTCACCATGTTGCATACTTAGCTTGATATATGATAGGGTTACAGGATTGCAATAATAATATATGTTTTTAAAATGTGAATTTTTGCCTAGTTCTAGTACTACGACAGCAATGTTTTCTTTTTTTTCTAAATATATTATTTACTTTCAAGTATCTCTGTTTAAGGCCCTTTTTCCGTTTGATTTTATGAGAGATGTTATTACTCATATGACCTGCTTAAAATTTTCATTCTTTCTCCTTACCATTCAGCAAGTGACAGTTTTGTATCCTCCCACAACCTTTCTGTAACTGTGCACTGTTCATCTGCTTCTTCTCCTTTTGTCTCTTCAATCTGTAGAAACTTGTTAGCAATTTCTCGTATGGATTTCATTTCAATAGCATAGCAACCCAATTCCTGTTCCAATTCAGTTAATGATTTTATCCTTTATTAGAAAAGAAATAAAATATAGCCCTATATTAAAACAGATCAGAGATTTTTTTTTCCAAATGTAAGTATGAGGTTTCTTTGAAAGTTTATCATGAATGGCATACATCGACTAACCTAACATCAAATGGGAAAGAACCTTATTAATGCAGAGTTAAGGTTGCCCAGTGATAGCTCCTACCCTTCCAGAATGTCAAGTTCAGCATTAACTCAAACTTCTGAAAAGCAGGAAATACAGAGTTAAGATAAATGCCTATGCAACCTTAACTCTGCCCCACTGGAGCTGGCAATGCCACTGGGGATTATCTGCATGCACTCCAGTTACATTCCCTCTGTTAGGTGTAGTTGTATTGGAGGGTAGAAGAATAAGTTGGAGTAGGTTGGAGAAGCTGTGATTTGATTTGAGAACTGAGTCTGAGTCCCCCCCATATTTGTTATCAAAGGAAAAAGGTGCATGTGGACCTTGATGTGCCAGTCTACATCATTTCAATACAGAATCACATAGGTTGTCTCAGTAGCAGGGCACTGGGGCTTCTTGCTGTGGGTAATGTCAGTAGCGAGGTGGAATATGAAAGCAGTCTGTGGATTTAACCATGGGTAAGGGACAGTATAGGTTTAGGTATATTCTGTGTGCAAGTGTGGAGGGTTTATAAAAGGGTATGAAGTGATTGTTAAAGTTGGTAAGTCTGTCGAGGGCAGGTGTAGACTCAGTGTTTGAGCCTAGGGTAAATACATTACAGTGAAAGTACATTACTCTGTCCATTACAGTGAAAAGGGCAGAGTGTGAGTGTGGTGTGTTGTGGGGTATGGCTCAAAGAGGGCAAAGTTAAGGTTGTGTGGTTGCTTACCTTAACTCTGCAGTTTCTGGTTTTCAGATGTGTGAATTACACTGAACTCCACATTCTGAAGGGCAAGAGCTATCACCAGGCAGCCTTAACTGTGCATCAAAACAGTTTTTTGCCATTTAATTTCCTACTTTTTTTAAAGAGAAAGATAAATGTTTGTTGGTAGGAGTGATCATTTAGATAGTTGTAGGTCTCACCTACGTGTACAGTTGATGTTTGCTACTGTGGATAGGAAATAACCAAAAGACCTAGCTTTTATATAGTGCTTTCCCTCAGCAAAATTCAACAAACTTTTCATCATTACCTTCATTTTACAGACAGGAAACCAAGACGCAGAGAGTAAAGTGACTTGCCCAAGTCACTCAACGGGCCAGTGGCAAAGCTACGAATAGTCCTGTTTCTCCAGGAGGCCACACAATTGCTATGTGATTCTTCAGTGCTCCTCCCACTCCTGTACATTTTGTTATAGTGGAATGGGGATAATGGTCGTGCCTTGAGATGTTAGCCATATGTAGTTACTAACAGGGCTGGTGGGAGAAATCTCACCCATGGGCTATGTCCCAAAACTTGAACAATTTTATTATATGGTTGTTACAGTAACTTTAAGCATGTGAGAGAAGACTGGTGTGTCTCTCTCCTTCTGCACACCCCCAGAATACAAGAAGGGGTTAGGGAGTGGGGCTAACACACCCCCAGAAAGGCAAGACCCCTCCAGAACCTGGCTCAAATGAGAGGAGGCAAAGAAGGGGAGGTCAGACTCCAATAAATGCACAGGAGCCCCCAGATCCTGGCACACACATGGCGGGCATGGAGTGGGGTTCAGACACCAACAGTGGGGGTCGAGACTCCCAGATCACATAGAATGGGTAGGGAGAGGGGCTCAGACCCCCCCAGAAAAGCAAACCCACATCTCATCACCTGGATCACATGGATGGAGTGAGGGGGTGAGGGTTAGACCCCCATAGATGGGCAGGGACCCTCAGATTCTGGCACACACATGGGGGCAGAGAGTGGGGCTCAGATATCACTGGAGAGCAAAGAATCCCAGATCCCAGCTCACATGCGGAGGGTGGGGGGCAGGGAGAGGGGCTCAGATCCCCCACAGGGCCACTGGGCCCCCAGATCCTGGCACACACATAGGGGGCAGGGGGTTAAGACACCCCTGGGGGGCAGGAACCCCCAGCTCCCAAAGGGGGGGCAGGAGAGGAGCTCAGACACCCCTGGAAAAGCAAGCCTGGCTCACATGAGGAGAGCAGGGATGGGGGCCCAACCCCCACAGATAGGCAGGGGTCCCAGATACTGGCCCACTCACAGGGGGCAAAGAGTGGGGCTCAGACAGGGACCCCCAGATTCCAGCTCACATGGGGGAGTAGGAAGAGGGGCTCAGACTCCCCCCACCCCGATTCTGATGCACACTCATAGCAGGGGAGAATCTCGGGCTGACAGGCAGGCCTACCACTATTGTCCCCCAGGTCCTCTGCCACTCAACCCATGTCCCCTTCCCAGTGTCACTCCCCTTCCCTTCACCTGAGCCCCCCAACCCCTCTCACCATCCATACCACCCATCCTCATTTATCCCTATCCACTTGATGCTGCTCCAACCCCCTATTGCCCCTATTTCCCCCTCTCTTCCACCCCTAAAATGCCCCTCCCCTGTCAGCAATCATTTGCATATCTAAATTTTAAAAAAAAAGTTACTTTGATTACATTCCCCCACCCTCCAGCAGTGACAGATTTCAGCAATAGCCTCCCAACCTTTTCCATATTTCAGCCCAAGGGTGGGACTCCAACTGATGCTAGCTAGGCGGGTCAGGTTCAAAGGACTACTACTCATCCCTTGAGGTCTGCAGCTAGTGTGAAACTTTGCAGGCTAACAATCCCGGTAATTCCTCTGTCCCCGCATGCTCAGTATCATCAATTTGACACGAGAATTAGTGCAGGATGCTTGTGACAAGCCAAACTGGAGAAGCAAAATCTTTTTTGAACTAACCTTTTAATTTGATTTCCCCCCAAAGGGCGGGTGGCTGGCATGCCCTCTCTTGGGGTGACCCTTGAGCACTGGACACCCTTGTGTGATGATCAGAGCCCTTGTTTGATCTGTCTGTGACCCAAAATAGCTTTGCAAGAATCTGTCAACTTTAAAAAAAGATGTTTTTTCCGGGAGCTGTATCTCAGGACACCCTTGGTGAAATGGCCCCAAATTTGGGTAACTAGCAGAACCCCGTGAAGTACTGGTGCTAGTCCATTGGAGACCCTAAACAGGAATATTTTGGGCACCTCCCCCACAACACATACTAGTAATAGGGGGCCCCTTTGACCCATTCGTGGTGCTAAGCAGTTGCTTAGGTTAGGTCTACATGTACCTCATTGCAGTGGCACAGCTGTACCGATACAGCTGCACCACTGCAGCACATCTGGTGAAGACACTCTATGGCGACGGAAGAGAGCTCTCCCAACAGCATAAAAAAACCCACCTCTGCAAGTGGCATAACTTATGTCGGTGTAACATATGTCGCTCAGGGGGGTGGAATATTCACATCCCTGAGCGACCTAAGTTTTCCCAACGTAGGCTGTAGCGGAGACATAGACCCAGTCTGCTTATGCCTAGCGCTGGTGACCCCTGAGGCACTCCAAATTTCAAGGCAATCCAAGTAACTCTGTAGATTTCAGAACATTTAGAAAAGACGAGCTTTAAACAGAAAGCTGGCCTTAACTTTAATTGTAGGAGGGTCAGATCCTCAGCTAGTGTAATCTGGCCCAGTTCTTCAGTGGAGCTGTAACAATTTACACCATCTGAGGATCTAATCCAAAATTTCACAGGCCAATAGATTCTATATTAATGTAGCTAATTACAGTGCCTTCAACTACTGAGTGTCACTCTGGCCAATTTAAAATCTCAGTTCAGGTGCCCTATTCAATTAAAAGCGTGGCAATGTATGGATTTCATGAATAAAGCAATGGATATAAATTAGTATTGATCAAAATGTATCAAATCCCTGTGTGATACATGGTGAATGAATGTTCCTGAAGGGGAGCAGAGACCCACCTCAAATATATAAATGCCATAAGTTAACAGGAGGAGATGCGGATCATTTTAGAAAAATTCTCAGTTTGCCATATGTGATATGCACTGACTTTTGACACACAAAGTTTCTACAATGTATGTATCACCATTTAGCAATACATTGTATAACTTTACTTGGCAGCATTTGTAAACTGCAACCTCACTGCTACCAGAGGTGGTCATTATAGCTAATGACTCAACCCTCCCAACTCCCTCAAGCAAACAAAGTGTAGTAGCATGGGGTTAAAGAAGCAATATCATGGAGAAGGCTTTTTAAACAAAGCCGTCCCTGATCCAACATGACAATCAGTTGACTTCAATGGGACTACGCTATGCTTAAAGTTACACACAAGTTTATGTGCTTTGCTGGATTGGAGCCATAGAGACCAGACCAACAGAACTTATTGAAATTATTAAGTAAGGATCTAAAAAAGCTCCAATAAACACACTCACCTTTGTTGAACAGCAGGAATTGTTGGGTCCTTCAAGCCTATTTTATTAATCTTATCGTGTAGATCTTGAATATTTTTTAAGAGTTCATTATTTCTTGTGGAAAAAATCTCCTGTAACTCATTTTCTTGGATGAGCTCCTGCTTACTTAGATGGGCAAAAGCCTTGTTTGCCTTTTCAGATAAAGCCGCAATGAGTTTTTCACAGCAAGTCTTTCCCCCACATTCAGCATCTTCCAAGCAGATATCAGCCATCTGCAAGCGCTCATCCAAACATTTAGCCTTTTCTTTCATCAGAGAAACTTCTTCCTGCACGGCTTCTTTTGATGTGTTTCCTTGCACCGCAGGTTTCTCAGAAATTGAAGAGTCCGTTGCATGCTCAATAGAAAGTTTAACTCTTCTCAATGAGGCCAAAAAAGCTTCCAGTTCTTTGAGGACCGTTTCGCTGACCTGCATTTTATGATTCATGTCTTCAAACTGCCTCTTATATTTAAGCATAATCTCGCGCGCTGCTTGCAAATCTATTAGGTTAAATTCATCTCCTCTTGAGCTGTCTAGGTTTTCCAGTTGTTTGCATAATTCAATCTCATTTACTATACAGCTCTGGACGTTCTGAAATTGAGAGAACCACAGCAAGGTTAGCAAAGTGAAAGAAAAATTGTATCTCATATTCCAAGCAAAACATATAGCTGGAAAAAAAGTGAGCCCTAGGCCCAGCCAATCAGCTAAAAAAAGCTGTAATGGCGATCGGCTCCCGGTTGCACTGCGTGCTCTGCAGGTGAGTCCCTCCCGACCCACACAGGGGGAGAGGGAAAGAGCAGCGATTGACAGGGGGAAGGGGAAAGAGGAGTGAAAAGGGGTGGGACCTCAGGAGGAAGGGGTGGGGCAGGGGCAGGGCCTCAGTGAAAGAGGCAGGAGTGGAGCCTGGGGGGACAAGGTGGGGCAGGGGCAGGGCCTCAGGGGAAAGAGGCAGGAGAGGTTCTGACACTCCTGCTGGAGTGTCCAGTTTTTATATATTACAAAGTTGGCAGCCCTACGCGGGGAGTCTTATACTTTCTCTAAAAATAAAATGCGGGTGTGCTGAGAAATCCCGCTGCAGAGTCTGTCACTTGGTTACAGTATCATGCACTCCCTGAAGAACAAAACAGTAAAGCAGAGGGTCCACAGCTTTGGTGGACCTCTGGAGGCATGCAGCAGCTACCTCAAGAGCTTGAGACAACTGGAGTCAGTTTCAGAGCCTAGGCAACTGGACTGTATGGTCCCCACTGCCAAGAAGGAGGTCAGACATAGGGTCTGCACCCAGAGTGTATGCCCAGAAGTCCAGTGCCAGAGAGACAGTATCTAAACTCTGCTCAGCTTTAGCAAGCAGAGGCCTTGTGGGACCCAACATACTGCAGCCTGGTGAGTGTCCAGCAGGGGGAACTTCTCAGGGTTGTAATAATAGTCTACTGAAATATTCTGCAATCTGAATTACACCACATAGTAGGTTGACTCTAAGAATCTTTGGGGAGCTGGTTTTGGATGGTAAGATCCACAGAAAAGGCTACTGATCATGCTTGCAGCAGCAGGAGCTTCCTCAACTCAGAAAGCCTGATACTAAACAGCTAGATTGGGACCAATGCCATTTTGGATGAGAAAAAGACAATTATGAGCAAGGACTATTTGTGACTCCATTTTGAATGGGTACCATTGGTGTACACTTGGGTATGACTGTTGTATAGCAATGTTATTCAGAAAGAAGCAGGCAGCATGCTGTTAAAGGTCAGAAGGGTCAAAAAAACCTCAGGCTACTGGAAGCTATTCCCAAATCCCTGAGTGAGAAGTCCCATGCAGTTATCCAGCTCTTGCATGTACAAATGCCTATTTTTGCAGAGTTTCACCTTGTACTCACATTTGAAAACTGAGATGTGGCCTCTGTGTTTTTCCTTACCTTCAGTTCTCCATAAATGAGATCAATATTTGTCAGAGTAAATTGCTGAATGTCCTTTCTGTGGAGTTGCTCGTCTGAGTCACATAGAAGAATGAATTCATTTTCTATTGGCGAAACAACTTCCAAAGCAATCTTTAAAGACTTCATTCTAGAAGAAAGGTAAATAAACATGAACAAAAGAAGCTGGCAAGAAAAGATCCTGCACATATTTCAGGGCAAAAAGCACAATTTTACTGTAAACCAAAAATTAGCTATTAGACTTTGGGAGCAATTCACTGATGTCAACAGAAGTTTTACCACAGACTTAAATAGGAGCAGGCCCAATTCCAAAGATTTTAACTCAAAGGTTGAAAAAAACTGTACTAGAAAACTTGGGGATACAATAAAGTGGTCTTATAAAGTGGAAGTATTTTTTCACACAACGCACAACCTGTGCAACTCCTTGCCAGAGGACGTTGTGAAGGCCAAATCTATAACAGGGTTCAAAAAACAACTAGATAAGTTCATGGAGGATAGGTCCATCAATGGCTATTAGCCAGGATGGACAGGGATGGTGTCCCTAGCCTCTGTTTGCCAGAACCTGGGAATGGGTGACAGGGAATGGATCACTTGGTGATTACCTGTTCTGTTCATTCCCTGTGGGGCACCTGGCATTGGCCACTGTCAGAAAACAGGATACTGGGCTAGATGGACCTTTGGTCTGACCCAGTATGGCCATTCTTATGTTCTTATAAAATATAGATTTGTTTATTATGGTTCTTAGTGTAAGTATCTCTAATTGCCTATGGTATATTATATGAAGCATATATAGCAGGGGTTCTCAAACTTCATTGCACCGCAACCCCCCTTCTGACAATAAAGTTACTACATGACCCCTGGGGGTGGGGGTCGGAGCCCGAGCCCTGCCACCCTGGGTGAGGGGAAGGGGGCCCCAGATCAAGCCCTGCTGCTCCGGGTGAAGAGAGAGGGGGCTGCAGCCCGAGCCCCATTGCCCAAGGTGGAGGTGGAGCTTAGGCTTCAGCCCTGGGTCCCAGCAAGTCTAATGCTGGCCCTAGCGAACCCATTAAAATGGGGTTATGACCCACTTTGGTAGGGTGACCAGACAGCAGATGTGAAAAATCGGGATGGGGGTGGGGGCTAATGGGAGCCTATATAAGAAAAAGACCCAAAAATCTGGACTGTCCCTATAAAATTGGGACATCTGGTCACCCTACACTTTGGGGTCCCGACCCACAGTTTGAGAACCGTTAATATATAGCATATGATACTCCATAAAAATACATTAAGATCATGTTAAATTTGTGTGTTTAAATTGGAAAATGCCAGGGTTCGAGCAGAACATACAATCCTAACTATGCCTTACAATGCAAAATATATACTATACAATACATTCTTTAATTGTATGATGACATACTATTTCTCAAATAACACAAAGTACAATGATATTTTATACCTGGCATGTAGAATAATCTGAAGTTCACTCCACTCTCTGTTGAGTCTGTTTTGTGTTTCAGAAATAACAGGCTTCCCCGTCTCATCCATAAGATTTTCTAATTTAGATGCAATAATTTCCAACTGTGTCCAACAAGAATTAGCTTTACTCTCTATGACCTAAAAGAAGATACATATATTTAATTAATTCAAAAGGCATCATTATTGTGCAAACAGACTGGTCAATTCTGAAAATTACCTTTAGAGGAGTTATTATAGAAATTGTGAATTTTCCATGTCAGGTGTCTCAGGCTTTTTTGTTGTTTGTTTGTTTTTTTGTTTTTTAAGTTTCAGCCATTTTTCAGAACAAGATTAGGGAAAAAATTACATAGTTCTACCCATGTTTACAAAAATTCTTACACCCATTTCACTGAGAAGCTCCAGCGCCACCATGCTTTGTAGCAAGGATTTGAAATTTTACAGGAGGGTCAGATGTGTCTTTTACCATCCCTTTGAAAATTCACCCAAATTTGGCCAATTTATAATCCTTTGAACTAGCTTGGTTTTCACATATTCAGTAGAGACTGTTGGAGTTCAGCACCTAAATTCTCCGAAGATTTTGTCTGCAGTGAGTATGTTTCACACCCTCACAGCTCCTAGATGTGATTGGACTGTGCATGTGCCATGCTCAGAGAGTGACTGAAAATGCTCCAGCCCAGGATGCAAGGGCTGAATAGAATTTTCCCTGCAACTGTTCCTCCTGGTTGCCGGGGGCAAGTGTGGCGCCAAGTGGAACTGAGAGCAAGGAAACTCTCCTGTGCTCTTAGTGGCCCCATTTTAGGGCCCAGGCATCAGAGAGGAAGAGTAATATTGCTCCTGGGGGAATTCTGCACTACTGTGTGCGCACATAATTAATGAGCCACACATATTTTTAATTTTTTTGCACAGAAAAAAGCTTCTGCTCAAATGTTGCTGCAGTTCTGCCTTTTGCCCACCAGAGGGCGCTGTGGTGCTAGCACAGAGCAGCAGCTCCCAGCCAGCTAGGGAAAAGAAAGAGCCTGCCTTTTTTGCAGCGCCTGTCAGGCCAGGTCAGGAGATAGGGGCTACAGGGAGACAGACAGCGTGGGCTGTTGGGGGGGGTTCATAAGGGCTAGTGGGTGAGAGCAGCCTGGGGCTGGGGCTGAATGGGAGTGGAGGCACAGGGCCACAGGGGGAAGGGAGGTGCAGGGCCACATGGTGATGGGGGAGGGAGTGCAGAGCTACACAGGAACAGGGGGTGGCTGAATGAGAGCATAGACACACATGGGGAAAGGGGGCGGGGGTACAGGGACACACAGGGACAGGGGGAGGGGCTGCAGGGCCACATGATGTGGGGGAGTGGATGTCTGAGTGGGGGTGGAGGGACACAAGGGGACAGGAGCAGATGTGCCTCACTGAATGGGAGAAGCTAGGAGTCAGCCAGGGTCTGCATGGGGGAAGCTCCCTAACAATCCCTCCCTGGCCCACCCCAAAAAACCTGTTCCATACTTTTCCCACCCATACCCAACAACCCTCAAAGTTCACACCCAGGCTCCTTCCCAGCAATTTACTTCCCTCTCCCTCAGCTCCTCCATTACCCCTGACTCCCCCAAGCCTTTGCACTGCTTCTGAGGGGCACAGGAAATACGGTTTTGTATTGTAGTTTAAATGAATTATTACTCAGAGTTCTGTATTAATATGCCTAGTAAAGAATCTATTTGTCAAAAAACATTTCCTGAATCTTTTTTGTTGTCTGTATTGTTACAGACATACTTGCTGACAGGTATTTTGAAATAAATGACCAAAAATAATTGAAGCTGGTGTGATTATATTGTGTTATTTTGACAAATAAAATATGCAGAATTTTGCAGAATTTTAAAATATTGTGCACAGAATTTTTTAATTTTTTGTTGCAGAGTTTCCCCAGGAGTATAATATGGAGGAGCAGTTGACTTTGCAACTTCAATGTTCTTTTAACATAGTTTTTTGTGTGTAGTAAATTTAGAGCATAACAAAATAATGTTTATAATAATTGTTTACAAACAATTCAGATCCTCAAACAACAATAGTGGTGGAGTAATTTTGCACACAATGGTACAAACTCTCCTCTCAGCTACACCGGCACAACTCCACTGCTGTGTAAGGCCTCAATCTCGCAAAGAGCTGAGCCTTCCTATGACTGCTGAATGTCCTCAACTCCCACTGAAGCCAGCAGCAGTTGGGGACGCACATTACCCCTCAGCTCAGTACCTTGAAAGAGAGGGCCTCAAAAGAGAGTAATTTAACCCCCTCTTCCTAACATATCATATAAATTGTAGACAAGCAACATATTCTTCAAAATGATTGACATTTACCTGTAGATCTAGCAGCTTATTATGAAGGCATGACGTGTCTTTTATTTCATCAGTAAAAGGAGACTCTACTTCATCTCTGATTCTTTGTAAATGAAGTTCGAGATTACTCCTCTGTGTATCAAAGCTAGGAAAAGATGCAATAGTTCTTAGACAGTATCAACTTTACATTAATAGAAGACAGGAAAGGAAAAATAATTGGGGTTTGAACGTAAGAACATAAGAATGGCCGTACTGGGTCAGACCAAAGGTCCATCTAGCCCAGTATCCTGTCTACCAAAAGTGACCAATGCCAGGTGTCCCAGAGGGAGTGAACCTAACAGGTAATGATCAAGTGATTGCTCTCCTGCCATCCATCTCCACCCTCTGACAAACAGAGGCTAGGGACACCATTCCTTACCCATCCTCGCTAATAGCCATTAATGGACTCAACCACCATGAATTTATCTAGTTCTCTTTGTGACTTGATGAACAATTACTTTAATTGCCATTACTTTATTGGCAATTAAAGTAAGTTCAGCAATTTGCTCATGTAATTGGTTTTTTTACGTAAATTCCAAATTTTACATGAATAAGCATTTGTGTTTAAAATGAAGTAATTGCTCACCTAGCCACCTGATTTGTGTGTGCAAATGTCTAATTTCAGGCTCAAACATGGGTCTTTTGTGTGTAAAAACAATGAATTTCTGGAAATTTGACCCAGAATGTTTGGCTTCATCATATTCAGGCACATACACCCCACCCCCCAAAGCAAAGCTTCCTCTAACTAAGGAAGAGAGAAAAGCAAAAAAATCACTAAATCCACTAGTTTCCTTGTTATAGAGATCTAATTTACATTTAGATACTACTGTGAGTGACTGTATAGTAAGCTAAATAGATAGTTAAACAAAATTTAGAAGAATAAGTAGAGAACAGAATTCAGCATAGTAAAAATAGTCCAGATATACGAAATTTCCTATTTACTTGTAACTTTTTAGTACAGTATTATCTCTCAGTGTGCGTATTTTGCCATTTAAAAATTACCTCTCTAATAAAGTCTCTATGGGCAAATCACTGTCTTTCTCAAACTTTTTTGTACAGCTTTCACCATTCTGTTGTTTCACGTCTGATTCCAAAATTACATCTGAAACTGGTCCTGATGCCTAATCAAATGTAAAAATCAGTTATGTTGATAACTGCATTACCTTATATCTATGCATTCAACAAAGATCAGAAGACATACATACACTGCAGAAAGAAACAATCACTTCTTCATGCAAATCACACCCAATTTCTGAGAGAAGCAGCTCAGTTTATGAACATAAGATTCACTTAAACTAGATTATTAAGTAAAATTATAAAATTATGAAATACACCTCTTTCCATGGACTATACACATGGCGCTTGAGCCATCAGCAAAGCAGCAGATTCCATCACTATACAATGGACAGTATTTGTAGCACAGCGTGAGAGAGCTTCCTCATCACAGTAGTGCAGACTGCAACCTCAGCTACCTTAACAGATGTTTCCTCTATATCCTCAGCCATTGGTGCTAATACAATGGAGACTCAAGATGAACTCTTTGTGTAGCTCACCAGCATGTTTTTGGATGTCTTGCTGATGAATACTGTGCTACCTATGTACCTCTCGGGTCACATGAATTGTCGTCCTCTTGGACCACACTCTAAACAAGACCTCTTCCTCTATGGCATTCCACTCACGGTAAACAGTTGTATCCCTCTATATTAGCAATTGTTTAATAAAGCTATACATATTCTTTTATTTTAATATTTCCTTAGAAGTGAACCCCTGCAGCATTTTTCATCTCTATATCCCCTCCTATTTTTGTTCACATCTTTTGGCTACTGAGGGGCCCAAAACTGAATGTAGTATTCTAAGTGTGTTTCCTCCAGTGCTAGAGGCTGAAATTCACCCCGTCAAGAAGGGCAATATAAGGACTTGAGTCCTATTTTGAGAATTTAAGTGGGCCTTGAGCTGGCCCTTTTCACAGGAATGACTTCCACTCAGAGAGAGGAACTAGACTGTAAGTTCTCTGGGGCAGAGACTTTCTTTTCAATAAGAATTTGTACATTGTGAGCAAAATGGGACCTGAGCTTTGACTGGAGTGCTTGAGTCCCACTGTGATATAGACAGACATAATAATTGCTCTCCATTTGCCCGTGATCCACTCTAGATAAACCAATATTTGCTAATGGTATGTCTTTAGCCATCTGTCTTGGATGGGTTAGACACAACAAATCCTGCATCTTGGCAGGGGGGCAGAGTAGATGATCCTTGCAGTCCCTTCTAACCCGATGAGTCTATGATCTGAATTCCATACCTCCTGAGTTGAAAGTATATCAACTGATTGGGAAGATGTTTTCTTTTCTCCATTCTCAGGAGCAAGTATAGAGCCCCTAAGGTTTAAAAGAAATTTCAGCTTAATAATAACAGCAGCAACTAGTGAATAGAAAGAAAAAACATTGCAATCATGCAGTATATATCAAAAGACAAAAACAAACCCTGCAACTCTGCCAAAGATTAATCTAACATGACATAGACTAGTTCGTTAAAATATTTTAAAAGAACAATTACACGAGAAAATATACTCCAGGTTACAATCCTGCAACAACAGGAGGATGATCTAGATGTCTCAGTTTTATGGAGCTAGGATACATTGTCCCGCAAAATACTCACCCTTGTTTAGATGCCTGGCCACCGCCAACATGGGACAGCAGAGTTATGTAAGCATCTGCCGCACATTTTTGAAGTTCTTCTTGCTTTTGTTCACACTCTGCAATTAGTGTCTTTGTTTCCAGGTGAGTTTCTTCTGCAGTCAGTCTTTCACACATTGCTTTAAGAACTTGTAGGCAGCTGTTTAGTTCCCCCAGGCTGCCTTCAGGAGAAAAAAAAGCCTAAATGAAGAAACAAGCACATGATAAATTATAACAATGTGGTTATTTTCATACATTGTTATATTTAGTGTTCTTTCGTCATGTAAATGCACTTTCAACTGAGGCTCTCAAACCACTTTGAAAACATAAATTAACTCTCACAAAATCCCTCTGAGGCAGGCAAGTGTTAGCCCCAATTTTACACCTGAGTAAAGGCACAAAAGGGTTAAAGACCAGATTTTTAAAGGTATTCAAGCACTTAACCCCCACTGAAATTAATAGAAGTTAGGTGCCTAAATATTTTTTAAAATCTGGGCCGAAATGATTACCTGATCATATTCTAACCAGAGCCAAGAACAGAAACCAGGAGCCCTGACTTGCAGTCCCCAGCTCTAACCAACAGACCAATACTTCCTCACTTAATATCTTTGCAATGTGAAATTTTCCTTGTCTTACATGAGTCTTTTCTTCTTTATTCCAATTTTAGCTACCAATTCTGATCCCACTGAAGTCAATAGCAAATCTCCCATTGACTTCAGTGACAGCTGGACTGAGACATTTTCCCAAAATATTCTCCGTCACTCTCTCTCCTCTGTAAGAAGCAACTACAATGAAAGAAATGACACTCTACTCTCTTGGCCAATATGAGAGGAATAGAATGCATCTGGTATACATGCTTGTTTCTCTTTATGCTTTTATATACAGTGTGTGCTGTTTTTCCTCACATAAAAACACCTTGGGTGAAATCCTGACCCAGTTAAGGTTAATGGCAAAACTCATATTGACTTTACCGAGGCCAGGAGTTCACACCTAGGATCCCTGTAGCTCAATGGTTTGAGCATTGGCCTGTTAAACCTAGGGTTGTGAGTTCAATCCTTGAGGGGGCCACTTAGGGATCTGGGGCAAAATCAGTACTTGGTCCTGCTAGTGAAGGCAGGGAGCTGGACTCGATGACCTTTCAAGGTCCCTTCCAGTTCTAGGAGATAGGATATCTCCATTTAAAAAAAAAAAAAAAAAAAGGGCAGATCTTGGGGAATACAGTGATGGCTAGGTTCACCTAAGGTGAAAAGAAAATTAAAGAAGAGATGACTGAGAAAGAGACATGAGTAAAAATGTTAAATGTAAACCAGAGTTTATTACACACTGTGTGAAATTTACCCCTGGGCTGAGGACTAGCACAGGCCTATCAACCATAAAGCACCACTTAAAGTCACGTGACTAGTTTGTGTGCAACACAAACAAGGAGTTAAACGGGGGCTTCTGTACAACCATTATTGGTAGAGTCAGCTCTATGGATAGGACCTTAGCCATGCAACTACTACATTGAATGGGAGCTACAGTGCACATCAAGTTTGTTTTTTCAATTATTACATTTTGAGTAATTAAGGATTAAAAATAAAACCAGCTGTAAGAGATGATTATAAAGTAAGGTATAAACTGAAAAAATGTAGCATTCTACTGCCAAAGAGGTGACTCTTTGAAAGCCTGCTTCGTGCAGTGAAGGAACAGTCTGAAGTTAGAAAGAAAATTTAATGATAAAATGCAGAAGGATATACAATACAGTCACCAAGCAGAGAAGTTGAGGATAGCGTTTTTATACAGTACCTCGTGTTCTTTTATAAGTCCCTTGGTTTTACCCATGCTAAGGAGTTTCTTCTCTTTATTTATTTGCTTACTGAGTTTTGAAAAAGTTGCATTAAATTTCCCTATTTCAATTTCCATTATGAACTGAATCCATGATATGATTTCACGATGAACTGCCTGCAAAGTACAGAAAGCACTGTCTCAGTGTGATGGTCATGGGGTGACAATGGGCTACAAAGCAAATACAAAAATTTGTTTTTCAAGAGACCAGGTCTGATAAGAAAAAGCAACTCATTCTCTTATGTATATTTTCTCACCTCCCATCTTTCACGAACATCTTTGCATCTTTCCTCCACTGCTAACTTTTCATGAGCTGGTGAAATATTTTTCAATTGGTCAGCTGCTTTCAAAAAATTTTCAAGAATTCCTGTGTCCAAAATGCTAAAAGCTTCCTGAAAAAAACAAAACAGAATTGATCTTCGCTTATGTATATCGTAAAACAATTTCATTATCATACCAAAACTATACAATAATGAATGGCAAGGTCCTTATTATTGGGCTGCAATGGCAAAAGGCCAGATTGTCCCAGGCCCTTGTGTGGATGCATAGGCGGGCCAGAGTACAATTGCACTGCTGCACTTTCTGTGTCTGAAAATGAGCCAAGGACAACTGCAGCCCCTGCGCTTGGGAAAGTGCAGGTACAGCTCCCACAACACCTCTCACCGGAACATTTTGTACCAAGGGGGAGTGGACAAAGTGGATCAGTGGCTATTCTCCCTCCTTATGCCCAGACAATAGGGCACACCTCCTATATGTGACAGGAAGCAAGGGAGGGATCTGTGACTTTGTGACGGGGCGCCTGGCCCGCACTGGCCTTGAGGGGGTTAAAACCAGCCTAGGGAGGCTGAGCAACAGCCAGTCAAAGGAGGGGCTGCAGGGGAAACAGCCAATTAGGGCGGGGGCTGCAGACAGTTAGGGCGGCAGATGGACTAGCCAATCAGGGCCCAGTCGGCCCATATAAAAGGAAGCTGCAGACCAGAGGGAGTTAGTCTGCTGCAAGGAGCCCTAGGGAGAAGACTGGCTTCCTAGAGGGTTACAGCGGGATCAGCACCTGGGGAAGGGCAGGTGCTAGCAGGAACCGGGGGAGCTAGGGAGAGCTCCTGGTGGGCTGCCAGGACTTACAGGCTCGAGGCCCTGGGAAGAGGGAAAAGGAGCTGGAGCCAGAGGCAGGAGCAGAAGGAACTGACACTGCGGGGAAGTGGCCCAGGGAATAGAGACAGTGAGCTGGAAGGAAGAGGCAGCAGAAAGCTGCTGTTTACAAGGTCCCTGAGCCGGGGCCCAGAGTAGTGGGCAGGCCTGGGTGCTCCCCCCACCCTAACTAGCCGTTGAAGGAGTGGCCTGGCTGGGGACTGCCAAGTTGCTGTGAGGAGTGGCTGGACTCTTGGTGGGGGAGTCCGGCGGGGGGGCGGAACCGGATGGTGACACAGACAGAGGGCTGTGCCACGAAGCAGACACCGAGAGAAAGGAGCCGTAATGGGTCTGCAGGCGGAGGCGAGGACGGGAGAGCCATCACCACCCGAGGGCATACTTGTGTGTCTGATGGCCACTTAGTCAGTCAACTTTCAAAGTTTTGATAATGCACTTACGACTAATAGCCAGATGTTTAATAGGGCATTGTTGGAAAAGGAAAGACCTCCTAGCATTAGTGGCATGGACAAACAAAGTTCAGGATATCCTTTCAATGGAAAAAATGAGACAGCCTTATTTTAGGATCAAGATTTTATAATGTGAGGTTACCATTTTGGGGATTTAAACAAAATACACTCAGATAATAACATAAAAATCCAGGTTGTGAGTAATATTTCTACAGAAAGTTCAGGTATGTTAATAATGATAAAACAACCCTGGCGCCAGCTCCTGGTCCCATGCCCAGCCTCACCTCCAGCCCCCGACCGTGGCTCCACACCTGGCCCTGGCCTCTGGCTGCAGCTCTATTCCCAGACCCAGCCCTGCCCCCAGCTGAGGCACCAGCCTCAGCCCCCTTACCCATGTCTGCGTTTCCCCACCCCAGGAACTGCAGCCACACTCCCGGCCCCGGCTCAGAGTGTGAGGGGGGGTAGATGGGTAAGGGAGGGATGACCCTGAAAAATTTGGGGACCACTTGTGTAAGATTTTTTTAGTCACAAAATCTCACTATGAAATAATGTGCTCTGATAGTCAAAAGCTTCATATGACACAGGTAGGAAGTAAATATTTGAACCCACCTCATTTTTTGAAATGTGCTCATCAGGGCTCACTTTTTGGCTAATGAGTTGCATAGCTTTTAAAATAGATGTTTCAAGCTCCTTCTGGGATTTTTCAAAATTGATCATGACCTCCTTTTTTGACAGAGTCTCTTCAGATTTGGGTGAGACAAGGTCTAGGTTATTCATGGCAGCCTAGGAAGAAAGACAATTTGTAGAGTGTGCATGAGTATTGTTAAAACAATTAAAATATTCCTTTATAACATGACTCAAGTTTCTCAGCTTTGGATATTAATTTTGAAATCTTTTCTCATTTTGCACCTGACAAGAGAAGAGTCGCTCAAATATTTTAAAAATATTTATATTTTACATGGACCCTAAAAGACGTTTTTCTAACCATTTAATACTACAGATAAGGATATCTGTGTACTGAATATGATAGTGATAGGGAACAGAGACCTGGAGTCTCTCTCTGACTTCTTTAATTCGTGTCGGTAGCCCAGCTGTCTCAAAATCCGGGAGGGACACCTGGCTTGAAATATTACGTGTCAAAACTTGCAAGATTTCTTCTGCTGCAGCAACTTGTTCTTGGCACAAGGTCCTTCTGGCAATTAGGATCTGTTTAGATGAAACACAACAGAAGTCTTCAATATTAAATATTATTATTTAGCTTTAGGAACTGAATTGAAAGGCAAGGATTGCTGAAAAGTAGGCAATATTTGGTTACATATGGACCATGCTTTGCAATTACAGGTCATTATCTTGTAGTCCAAAGTATCAACATCTGGGGGAGTGGGTCTGGCGCCAACCAAAAAAGAAAGCAGAGAAAACAAGTTGTCAAGCCATCTAATTCCATTGTGATGGGGTATCCACCCCACACAAGACCTGAAGGGGTCAAGATGGCTAGGTAGGCCAATTAACTGTCCAGGCTGCACCTGAAGGAAGAGCCAGGGAGCAGGGATTAATTAGAGGAGGCTCAGCTGGATGGGAACAGGAGGCGACTGTGTAAAGCCCAGGAGCTGAGAGCAGCTGGAGGCTCAGGGAAGTAGTCTGCAGTCAGTCATTCCCCGGGAGAAGGGAGTTGTGCGGCTGGCAACCCCAGAGTGTGGGGAGAGCCAGAAACACAGCGAAGGCTCAGGGGAAAAGCAGCAAGACAGACCTTGGCTGCTGAAGAGAGGGCCCCTGAGATGGAACCTGGGGTAGAGGGCGGGCCCGGGTTCCCCTACCAGCCACTGGGGAAGTGGAGATTGGACTGCCCGGGATAGTTTGTGCTGAAATACTTCGATACCCTGGAAGGTGAGGACGATAGTGACGTGCCTGGAGTGCCAAGTCACGAAGAGGAAGCTGCAGCTCTTGGAGCGAGAGGGTCCACAGGATGGAGAGAGCGCCAGAGGAGGGCACAGCACCTGGAAGGAGCTAATCCCTAAAGTGGCCAGGAGAGACGCCCCTAGCAGTGAGTGGACCCTGTGATATCCATACACATATTTGACTTGTACTTAACTTCTGTGATTGTACTTGCTATCACTGTTATATGTTATTTTTCTTTGCCTAACCTTCTATTTTAAAGTATCTTTAAAATATGCTTGTATACATACAACCTAGTAACTGAACATACAAAGCACACATTTGCATGTGCATTGTCTGATCATGAAAATGTGTACACACAGCAGTAACTGTATCATGTGAATAGTCCCACTGAAGTAAACAGAAAGTCTCATATGAGCAAAGTTACTCGTGTGTATATTTGCTTGCAGAATAGAGCCCCAAATGTGCACTCCGCTGTTTAGAAAACATGCTTGGATATTTTGAAAGCACAGCTTACACCGCTGGGTTTGGATATTTATCACTGTGTGTCTTTTGATCTATGAATATTCACCTTATTTTCAAACTATCCATTACCATTCCTCTGATGATAATCTATGCTTTATTAAAAACGTCTCTATTATGTACTGCAAGTGAAGCAAGGACTTGATCTTGTATACTCATGGGGGACATTATGTTACAATCTTATTGAAACACAACTCATAGAAATTTAGGAGCATTTTTTGTCACTTTCACATTTTTAACAAGCAAATGTCACACTGAGAATGGGATTTAGTTTATATACATGCACACACATTCTGAAAATTCATGTACATTCTTTTAACATGCCCATACCTCCTAATACTGTAGACTTTACCCAGAGTAGGAGTGCACAATCTCTAAGTAAAATAACCCTGAGACTAAAAACAAAGATCTTTGCAACTACACTGAGGACTCCTTCCCTCTTTACAGAGTGGATGTTTGAATCCATTTCCCACAGGGTCAGATGCACAAAGAACACAGCAGGCAGCTGATTCACATGCCAGCCAGAACTCTCTACAGGTCCCCCCTCCAGCCAAGGAGGGCTGATGGGATAAAGTGCTTCCTCCCCGGGGGATAAATGCATTGCCTCTGCAGTAAATATTATCACCCGCATTCATCACACCCTCACTTCATTAATTTCCAGGGTATTAGTCAGCAGGGCGTTTGCTGGATTACTGAGGGGGCGGGAGCGCCTTTATCACACAACTGTAACCAGTTGAAGAATGGGACTGAGATCCTTCTTTAGACTGTGACTGAATCTGGGAGTGACGATGTTTGGGGGAAAATGCAGTTACCATGATGGGACACTCAGGACTCTGACAGGAGCCATCCTGAAAAACAATGTTAGACAACTAACCTAGTCCTAGCAATATTACAGCACCTCCTTCCCTTAGTTAGCCATTTATTAATACAAACTCCATTCTCATTCCTGCTTCATTTAACACAAGCCATTGAATTCATAACTCAGGTCTGAGAATCTGATGAATGGGTAGATATTTTAAACTTTATATTTGCATTTCTACCTGTAAAGATTGTTCTGTTGAGCTTCCCACGCATCCTTCATGTTTGATCGTCTCAAGAAGGCATTCTGTTTCTGTGGCCCAGTTTTCTACTCCTTTGAGAAGCTCTTCCATTTTCTCCACTCTGGGCAGAAGCTCAGTGGCCTGGTCAGTTGCATCTGCATCCTTTTCTCTAAGCTGAGAACATGGAACACTTAGACTC